CAGCTTCAGTCCACTGTAAATGTTCTTGTTTCAATTTAGCATCATGGTGGTAGATTCAAGTCTCATCCATAGTTATAAAACAACGCAAGAATTCGGGTTTATTCTGCTTAATACGCTTCAAATTATGCTGAGAAATTTGTTTACGACCCAGTTTTTGTTAAATTGTTAACGTGTGCGGCACTAACTTTCCAAACAGTTTTTTCATATGTAAAATTCTTTATGTTAAATATGAAGTACTCTTTCGTCTGAGATGCCTATTAGCAATTTCACGCTTATTCAAACTTGGATCTTCACTAATCTATATATATAATCTAGGACTTTGCTCAATGATTTCAGGTGTGGTTGCGATTTTTGGTCGTACTTCGCGTCGCTCGTCTTCAAGCCTAGTACGACCACGTTTAAATTCACCAGCCCAAAATTCAATGGTGCGTTTTGAAAGTGCGGACTCCTTATACACTTCTAACAATTGTTCATAAGTTTTCTTTGCTTTTAAACCTTTCAAAACAAAGAATCTAATCACTGCGCGATATTCGATTTTTTCCATTATAAAAAAGTACTCTGACACGTCAACTTCAAATGACTTATAAACAAAGAATTAATTAATAGAATGACTTGTAACTTTGCATGTGTTCTCATGACAGATGTACCAACTTGAGAAAAAAAAATTTGAAGCTAGTAGTGCTATTTTTTTATGAAAATAGAAACTCTTCAACCAACCTGTATATACATATATATATTTAAGTACATAAAAAAACAAACTGCTAACAAAAACCAGTTAAAGTGAATTCGCGGCTAAATCAACAAAGCTATATAAATGCATTCATACGAGATGGTTATTGTTGTTATTGCAGTGAAACTACGCAAATTAAGGTTTTGAGCATTTGCTGCGACAGTCGTGGCGTCGGCGTCTTCATTATCATATCGCAACGTTACCATCTGTTTTGCAGTTGCGTAGTCTCGCTGCTTCGTGTGCTTGTTTTATTTCGAAGTGGCATGCAGCGCCATGGAATTGCCGCTATCGAAACTATTGCCACATTTAAAGTCAGTCAACAGCACGCCTTCAGTGCGCGAAAAATTAATGCTTACATATAAACACTGAAGCCAAAATAAACACAGTCTTAAACATATGGATTCATAACTGTACTTCTGTATAGTTCCGACGTTCCTTAAACTTTGCTCAATTAGAGATGTTTCGTTGATTTCTCTATTTGCGTGAAGATCATTGTTGTATGTGGTTATGTACATATGTTTCAAACTCTCGCCTACCTTGCAATTACAATTTACTTTGCGAAGGCGTGCGTGCGACCCACACACGTTCAAACTAGCAATCTTGATATGTTAGCTTTTAACCGCCTAAATTATAAAATGTACATGTGTATTGTCTACAGCATACATATTTATATTTGTTTACAATCTAAATACTATGACTTTAAAAGCTTAAAAAATCGACCATATACATACATGTACATGTACATATAAAATTTTAAAAGTGTATTAATTTATTAAGAGGTTCGTTCTTAAATCTAATGTGTTGTTAAGCTCGTATATGGCATAACAGTATTTATTTACCTAAAGAAGGAAAGCATGTTTATTTTTCAAATTTTATTTGAAAAAATTGGCGGACTTTCATGATAAAAAACACATCCACAATAAATAAAAAATTAATTTTGGCTTCACTAAAGCTATAATAGCCATCGCACATGTATTTATTATAGCTTAAAAGAGTATACAAATGTCTTCATCTTGATTTTGGTCGACCAGTATGGCATCGGATTGTATGGAGGCTATATGCTATAGTAATGCGATATCAGCGGTTCTGACAAATGAGCAGCCTCTTGCATAGAAAAAGACGAGTGCAAAATTTCAGATCGATATCTCAAAAACTGAAAGTCTATTTGGTGAATTATACAGACATATGAACATGGAAAAATCGATTCAGCTTGTTACGCTCCTACTTTTGCTTCTGGGAGTTACAAACTTCGTGGCAAAGTTTTTATAAAAATATTTAAGTTTTTAATTTTTACGTCAATTTAAATTCGTTTTCATTGAAAATCGCGAGAATGTTTATCGATTTTTGTACTTTTTTCTGCATAACCTATGTGAAAGGGAAAGTGTAAGTCTGCACGTTGTGATCGTATTGCACATTGATCTGCTGAGATCAAACCGATCAAGATTAGCGATCGTCAGCTGATAAGATCATAAAAATAATTGACACTGGCTAGCTGGTACAGAAGTCTGACAGACATATTTCAACAAAACTGGAAAGCTCTGTGCCAAGCCATTGTGCATTGTTAATATTCCCTACTTCATATATTTAACATAACTACAATAAGGTCGTAATGACGTCAATACTTCGCTTAATTCACACGTGAGGTAAAGCGGGCATCCCACTTCCTTTGCCCTCGAATATTCCTAATCCCAACCCACACATAGACAATCGAGTCAAGTCTGCAGCCATATTGTATTTCTATATGACATTTAAAACGCCCGCGAGTATGAATGACAATTTAGCAATAAAAATTTGCATTTGCTGTGGGTGATTCACTGAAACCACAGCGCACAAAGCACCAAACGCCTTCATACTTTCCTTGTGCTCATCTGGATGATTCGAAACTCAGAGTAGCAACTTTACTTGCGAACACACGATGTAGATGTATGACAATTCCCGTAAATTTGTGGAACACCTTCCTCGGTGGTTGTTGTGAGCTAACAGCCCGAATCCAAAGAGGTGAAAAACATACATACCCGTGCATTTCATGCAGACTTCGAATATATGGAAATTTAAGCGTACATATATAATCGGATCTGCGCAAGCGCAGATTGACTGCTGACACTCTGGTCTTTTTGCCGCCTGCGAGGACGTTTGACGGACGTTTGTCGATTCTGCGCGCGCTGCACCGACGCCCATGCATGTCAACCAAATCGCCCCGGCAATTGAAAACCTACATATTTAGTTTTGTTTTTGTTTTCGTCTTTTTCATTGCGCTCGCCAACTAACTTTGCGGCTTTATTTCGATTTGGCATGGCAGAAATGAAAATTGGTTGCAGACAACAGACAGCAGACAAAGACCGTAGGCTGTCAGCTGGCTCGTAGGCTGTGGAGTCAACATGCCAGCGCCGGCAGGAAGGTAGGCAGACAGACAACAGCCACATCAGCCATGCGCATGCGCAGCTAAAAAAGCAATTGAGAGTAAACTTTTATTTCACGCACTCACATTCACAAATTCATATGCTCGTATATAGCAGTGTGTATAAATATTTGGTGTAATCTGCATTGTTTCGCAGTTCGTTTTGATTGCGTTTGCGATTGTTGTCGTTCCAATAGTAGTGAGTTCTTCGAGCTATGTTGAGAACGCCCACGGTTGACATTTATGGTTACTTGTTGTATATTCGTTGATTTTATTTTGCGCTGTGATCTGCGCCAAGGTGTAAGCGTTGGCGATCATACGAAGTTGCTTAACCCGCGAGCAAAATAGGAAATGAATTCCAATGAAGAAAGCATAAAAAATGGTTTGAAATGTAGACCGTTACAGATCGGGCCTCTCTTCTATTACTGAGCGCTTTTTGTGCAGACGAAATACTGCGACGTACATTATTGGTATTTTGGTGTATTTTCTGGTATATTTCGGTTGGCAAGTCGGTGTATGAATATCAATAATGATTTTTGGTTTTACCTGATATATACAAGTATGTAATATGTTTTTATATACAATAATGCAATACTTAATTATAAGTTATTCGTAAATATGTATTTCGATAATACATACAAAATGCCACTATTAACACCTTCTGTTTTCTCACAGATTACTATGCTGTTCGCTTGTCGGCCGCTTTGGTTTCATTATGCCCAATTATCGCCGCTGTTTACTAAACTAACAGCAATAACAACTTCAATAGAGTAGTATATCTGATAGTGAATGATGCTCCGAAAAGTGAAACCATTGAAGCAACCATTTCTTACCTTCTTCTCAAGACTCATTGCTACCACTTCTCTTAACTTCCACAACTTGCTAATTATGAATTGTTTTGATAAGCTACCATTTACCTTAATAACCATATATGAAAAAATTCTAAATAGTAGTGGAGGTAAATATAGTATATGTACATATGTACGAGAAAGAAAATGTTTAATGTTTCCGATTTGCTTTGAGGCGCTTTTCGGCAGCAGAGGTTCAAACAGAGACGATTGAAGTTTGCGCCGCAACAGTTTCGGCCTTCAGAAGAATTTTATTGTTATTTGGAATTTCAAAATTTATCACTTCAAAAAAAAAGCGACAACTTCTGTTGCACCGAATATTATACCCTTTACAAATAAAAAAGTTTTCCATACTGGAACTTGATTTTGATCGGTCAGTTTGAATGGCAGCTATGTCATAGTGATCCGATCAGACCAATATATTCAGAGATTGTAGCTTTGCCTTGGACATATCTTGTCAGCTTGTTTGGCGACTATATCCTGTAGTGGTCCGATATCAGCGAATCCAACAAATGAGTAGCTTCTTGCGGAGAGAAGACGTGTGCAAATTTTCAGATCGATTATTCAAAAACCGAGGTACTAGTTTGTGTATATACAGACGGACAGACGGCCTAACTAACACGGCTAAATCGACTAAACTCGTCACGCTGATCACTTATATGAAAAAACTTCGTAGAATGTCTGAAGTTTCCTCCTGGCTGTTACAAAATTGTTTAATATATAATATTAAGATATACCAGTTTGGAAATAACAAGTTTACTGTTATACAGTATATACCGTACTATTGTATAAACTAATACTTTAAAATTTTTGAAACGGAATCTAAGAGATCACTGCATCAATCTTAACAAAATATTCTGGAAAAACTAAGTAAGTAGTTGTAATAGAAAATTATTGTATTTTTAATAGATTTCTTTGAAAACGAAGTGAAATTTTCCAATTTTTAATTATTTTTTAATTTCATAGAATTTTTTTTTAAACACTATATATGCATATTTGATTAGTTGATATTTTCCAAGGAATATTTTTTTCTTTCTTGCTTCATTTTTTCAATATTAATGTAATTTTATTCAGTAAGTAGCGTTGCCAATGGTATGTGAGGATGCCCACAATGAAGTCACGCATATTGTGACTCACAGATGCAAATATGTATTGTATGTGAGATGTGTGTGTGTTGTAGCATTTTGCTGTTTGGTAGTTACAAAATGCCACTACACTCCACAATGTTCCACTATCGTTTACACCTAGTTAATATTAAAATTATAATAATTAGCTTTCTGATTTAATCCCAATGTTCGGGTCGCTCTCACTGTCTGTATGTTGCACGCCAAGCCGAGGTTCGGCAGATTCTGGGTGTTGCGGCACGACGCACTCCAGCCGGGCCAATTTTTGAAGCCGACACGTTCGAATATTCGCTTCGCACACACCACATCGTCATCAATGTTGTCATCAAGGAAGTCTACGTTTTAGTTCAAACTCAAAATTAATCAAATTCACGGCGATTACTCAAAGTTATTATACTTATCTACTCGTATGTGAGCAGCCGGCTTACCTTCACATTTCTTATCGCAAAGGCCACCTTTGCGACTAACGCGACACCATTCCTTGCTGCTTATCTGAAAGAGTCCGTAAGTGGTGCTGCCGTTAGGATTTCGCTTCACCACTTGGGTGTTCCTATTGCTCTCGTGCTCTATCAGGCAAATCCCTGTCGCGGCGGAGAATATTTCATTGAAATAAAATTGTATTTCTAGCTTGTAATGAGTGGTACTTACAGTTGGAGAGAAACGTTTTGTTGATACCGTATTTTTGTAAAAGCTCTCGCGCCAATTGGCAACGCATGTATTCCTTAGCATCCACCTGAGCGTTCAGCAGAAAACAGCTCAGCAGCAGTGAGGCCAGCAGGAAAGTAAGACGAGCCATTTTTAAGTCTCTGTAAGAAATATTGATGGACATAAGGCACAATAATATTGTTAATCATAACTCTAGTTGGTAAGAGCTGGTATTTTATATGATTTATATTCTTATGTTTTGTTTAGGGACCTTAACTAGATTTCGACTACGATTATAGCTTTTATCAAACTAGAGAACCAAAAGCTAAATAGCCAGCCATACACCACCAAAAATACGTATCATCTGGTAAGGAGTAATGCTCTTTGCGCTCTCACTAACTCTTGGAAACTTCTATATTTCACTATCTATATAAAATATCATAGCTAGAAAAATTAACTTCTATACCTTTTTTAAATATCTACAAGAATATCTTGATAAATTGGAAAAAAGAAGTTAGTTTACCGAGCTTAAGAACCTTGATACAAACAAAAATATGAACTTTAGTACTCATTACAAAAAACAAAAATAGAAAAATTAACCGGCGAATTCTCAGATTAAATTTAGTGAATATTTTGTTGAGAGTAAACAATTTTAGAAAATCCACACAATATTTTTTATTTTCAGATAAGTACATTATAGTAGATAAGCTTATTCTAAAGCTACACACTTATTTTAGCTTATTATGTTTTTTGGCTACGTAATTAGCACGCCGTAGAGTCAAAGAGATGTTTTTTAGCACGGGTCTCCACAAACTATGACTTATATAGCCACTAACGGAACTTAGTGGCACCCCTGTTTGGTTTGCAGAAAATAATTCTAGAACACAGTGAATGAGAGGCAGCACTAAAAAAAGGCTGAAACAAAGTGACCTAGGTGGGATCAGTACTTTTGGTGCGCGTTTTGAGGATTTTTCGGCCAAAGATATGGAACTTCTGGTAGTGGAGCCAAGGTGAGTTAAAGTTATATTGATTGAGATAGATCTGAGCTGCGCCTTCCTGTGTGTCAGCATTAAATCGAGGAATACTTCAATCTCGACTGCAGCGTTTTCAAGACTGTCAACTGCGGTTTTCTCAATTTTCGCCTAAATTCGCTGAGCAATTGATTACAGGCCGTTAGTCATGCCTTATACTAGTATGTATAAAAACAACCACAAATCTATTTAAAGAAAATGTAGAAGAATCGGTTGTATAAAATGAAGTTTATAGCAAATCTCCACTCAATTAAAAAAATTGTACGAAAAATTATTTAGTTCACTTGGCTCAGAAATTGAATTTAACTAGAAAATCCCACCCGGGTTATGACTAAGTTGTGCATACTGCTGAGACTTCACGTAAACCGCATTGCATTGCATTGCAGTCACGTTTGTTTGTATGTTGTATAGGGCGACTGTCGAAAAATACCTTTGTGCTGTGAAGCCGCCGCATTGTAAGCTGTTTACCTTAATGTAGCAATGTAAATCACGAAATTGATGGGAGACTGACAAGTTTAATTGGGTACCCCGAATTGATCGGAATAGAATTGCCTATATACGAGTATGTCCGCATGTAAATGAAAATCAGCAAAGACACAAGTAATAAACACAAAATAATTCAAGGTCAGACACAAACAACAAAAGCAATGTAAGCCAAAACAAATGGGGCGGACATAAATTTGAAGAATGAGCAGGCGAATCACTAATCTTTAATTTCTCTTCGCCGGCTTGTTCTTAATGAGCGTGAATGTGTGTGTGCGTTTGTAATTTGTTGATTGTTTGTATGTATGCAAGTGCGTAAGTGTGCGTGTAAGACGTAATATTTACGTATTATCAGCTGTGGACAGTGGACAGGTGAAAGTGCTTACTTATTACAGCCGCACGATAATCTCACGTGCGCACCAACACATATACACACACAGTGACAACAGGTGAGCGCTGGCTTAGCACAGAGTATTTATTCTGAATATGTGGTATATCACGATTTCGACTTAGCACTTAGACGCGTGGCAACTACAACAACACAGTTTTGGCGAAATGCCTTCAAAATATTTATAATATTATATACATGTATATGTATGTATGTATGTTAATACAATTGTTGTTGCACTTTGCGAATTTCGAATTTGATTAGATGCGATTATTTAGTTGTTAGTTTGAATTCGAAGATGTTTTGTTAATTAATTGTTGTTTACATGGTTTCGTGTTCACTTTTAATTAGTTTTGCTTTGTGCGCGCGCAACAATGCCAACGAAAAAAAAGTGCCTCTGAAGATAGCGACAAGCGATCCGATCGTGCGGCTAACTAAAGCGATGTGCGCTTAATGATCCCAAAGCGGTAACTAAACCGTGAATGGAACATGTTTTGGTCTTTTGTTTTTGTTGTATTCTTTATTTTGAACACTGTTCTGTTTACAATGTGAGCGACAAGCGCCAGAAGGTGTATTGGTAACTGTGTGTTTGTGTGTGCTCGTTCGTTCGTTAATTCCTGCTGGCATAGGACACTGCCGATGCACGCTATACGGCCGAAACTAATTTGGTTCTTTATTCGTCAACTTTTTTCACGCTAAGAGTGAAATGTGAAAACAATGCTCGAGTTAAATGATCTTAATATGAAAGGGTACTGGAAACCTTTTGCTTCAGTTTTATTTGGTATATTGGTATTTGGTTTATTAAAGGTACACGATATATATTTGATTGAGGAATTGTACATGGACACGGCGGTTTCTCCGACACGATTATTTCTTTTACACTGCCCGAACGTCGAACGATTTTTGTAAGGAGAAAATTGAGGCATATTTTTCACCTGCTAAATTGATGACTTAAACCGTTTTAAAAACATCGAAGCTCAAATATCGATGATAGCGCTACTAAAGAGAACATTTCTTTACGAAATTATTTCACTTACTCTTAACAATTTTTATTTCTAATAAAGGACCAATAATACCATTTTCGGTAATGATTCGACTCCGGCACGTATTCGAGTGCTTGAAGCTAGCCGTAAAAATATGCCACGGACATTTTAGAAAAGTCACTTTATTCGTTTCAGAGGCATATGTGCACACACCTACATACATTTTTATTATTATACTTTTATACCGGTTTTAGGGTAACGCCAAGAAACCCATTGCCATGATTCGTGTATAATTAGCATATTATTTCTCATTAGATTGTGGTTAAGCGCAACTTTTAAAACATTTTGTATTCAAAACGCTCTCTCAAACTACCGACGAGCCGTACACACACCCAGAGTATATATGTGTGTATATATATACTTATATGTATCTAAATGTTAATGGGAGCTATTTCGAGCGTGGGTGACAGCTGTTTCGAAGTAAAGCTTCTTACTAAAATGGGTTTTCAAAACATAAGTGAGGCGCAAATGCCGAAATGATATGTGTGTGTATGTATACAAGTTGATCGCTTAAAATTTCATGAAAAGCTTGTTTGTAAATATGCATGTGTGTGTATTTACATATTGACTTTTAAGTTTTGTTTATCAGTGTTGCATGTTTCAAGAAATTGTTCAAATATTTCGTTGTGATAACGTCTTTTTATCGTTTCAATGTTCATCTTATCAACCAGTGATAAGAAACTGCCATATTTGCAAAACAAAAACAATAAATACGCTAAAACGGAAGTTGTAAGTTGACGACACTTCTGCATACCAATTAGCGTCCAGCGAAGCGTTAAGCGCATATTTTTACATAGTTGATTGATTTTATTTTTTTAAATGCCTGTACTTATCCTCCCCTTATTTAAGCGCTCTTGAATATGCTTAGTAGAAGTATATGATATTATGCTATTTACATATACATTTTGTTTTAATTTAATTAGAGTTATATTTCTTCAAAATCTATGAGAAAAATATTTCAGAGTGTTGAAGATAAAAATAAAAAATCATTATAAATACATTTTGAGCTACTGTTTACTTGACATTATCATACAAAATTGCTTCAAATTGCTTTTGTAATACCCCACAGTGTTGCTTTTTTTCTAACAAATAGTTTTAAATACAAATTTCATTTATGTATATGTATGTATGTATTTATGACATAATTTATTGAGCCAATTTCCGCTACTTAAAATCGAATTTATAAAACTTAGAAATAATTTAATAATTTTTACTTAGCATAATTATTATGTACGTATATGTGTAGGCATGTGTGTTTGTAGGTGTAAATTTGTAAGCGCATTCTTCATCGCAAATTCGAAAGCAATTGATGTGGTTGACTTGTATGCCATGTGAAGCTTAAGGGTAAATCGTTTGTTTGTATAAAAAGTCATTATTTCTCATTATATATATATGTTTATACTATGTGCTCGTATGCACTCAAATTCTCGCATTAGATGTCCTTGTTACATATAGCCGCAAAGCGTGGCTGCAACCTTTTGAAGGGCCACCAGTGGCGGGCTCTAACATTCTCTCTCAGCAACAAGCGCACAAACGTATAACGGCAGATAGGTGTAATGGGTGTGCTCAGCACCTGGAGACGTCGGGCAGCGTACGTCCACGACATTTATTGACCCATCCGGGCCAAGCCTGAAAGCCGTGTCTGTTGAAAATTTGCATGGCACAACGGGAATCATCGGAGATTTCATCATTCAAAAAATCTATGGAAAAAATATCAACAATCAACAATTAATTGGAACTAAATTGAAATACATTCTAGTACTTAAATAATTATTAAAAAACTTTAACAATTAAAATGCAAAAAAGTTGTGCCTGCATATTGTTGAGATAAGGCAATCTTAATGGCATGAGTATTACTCGTATAAAAATGTAAACAAATTATAAATTTCATGCATTTTTCGAGGCTTATAAACAGTGGCTTTTGTTTAAATAATAATTAATGAAACTTAAATTTAAAATTAGTGTACTTAAGGAGACATTTATTGTTGGCAAATTGTCTGACAGCTATTGATAACTTTCAGTTTGTATGGCAGCTATATGCTATAATGATCAGATACCGACAAATGAGTAACTTCTTGGTGAGAGAAGGACGTGTGCAAAATTCAAGATCGATAACTCAAAAACCGAGGGACTATTTCGCTTATATGCAGACAGACAGGCAAACGGTCATGACTAAATCGTTTCATCTCTTCACGCTGATCATTTATTGTATATATACTTTAAGAGTGTCTCCGGCGTTTCCCTCTATGTTACAAACTTAAGCTCGGTTCAGGCGCTACAAATCTTATTGAAGTTAAGCGAGAGAGTGAGAAACCGTGATTTGCGTCAGCTTTATCAACAAGCACGTTCGAAGTCGCGCAAGAACGTTTGTTGCATTCACAATCATAAATATGTTAAACAAATTAGACTGATGATAATTAAAGCTTGTGACACTTTCTCGCCGCAAAACATTTACTAGAAATGTAGATAACGGTCAAAGTGTGTGTGAAATTGCTTGTCGTCAATAGTGTCGTGTTGTGAAATATTCGGATTAGATGAGTTTGAGATCAGTTCTACTGAGAAGGAGGTGGGAGCGATGAGTGTTTAATAGTTTTAAAGGTTTTAGAAGGTTAAAAACCGTGGAAATCGCTAGTGACTAATTGATCAAAATCATGATTATAATTTCATTAGAAAAACTGTAGTTAGACAGTTAGTCCTTTGACATTAAGCTCAGTCGGAAGTTTTCCTTAATATATCGCAAATAATATTTATGTGAGTTATTGTGCAAGAATCTGACTTCCGCATTGCCTATAGCATCTGCAATTAAACTGTAATTAGTCCATGAGCGCAAAGCAGCGATCTTTTTTATAAACATGTTTTCCAAAAATAGTTTTTGAAGATTTCCTAGGGATTACTCTGCAATTGTAGGTATTTACGTATTTTTATAATTTTTAGTATACATACTTACCTTCACATTTTATATTGCATATTCCGCCCTTTCGACCTTTTCGACACCAATTTTTATTGTTTATCTAAAAGCGCGAGCAGGCAAAAAAACAAAAAATTAAAACTTGTCTAACCATTTCACTGGGCCATGATAATCTAATCAGCTGACAAGTAATTCAACTAACCTGAAAAAGTCCATAGCTCACACTGTGATTTGCTAATTGCATAACTTTTGAAGTACTTCGGCCGCTTTCATTCTCCACCAGACACACCCCTAACAAAGAAGAAATTTAAATTTAATATTTATTTATTATTTTAAATGTACAGTATTCAAATAAAAATAATGTTGAAAAACTTATTTCATAATTTCATAATTTTATATTGTTATATTATAAATTTATGTACAATAAATCACAACTGCAAATTAAAAGTTACTTCGCCAAATTCAAATACTCACAATTTGAGAGATAACTTCTTGGAAAATCATGAGCCAACAATTCCTTAGCCAGTTGGCATCTCGTCAGCATTTTTGCTTCACTGTGCGTCCACAGGCAGCAGCTCAGCACCACCGATAGACTCAAAATTGCTATTTTCGATTTGAAGCGCATTTCGTATTTTCCGTATTGTGAAATTTGTATTAAAGGCTGATAAGAACGGTTATTCCTAGAACCGACTAAAAATAATTTCCACGTTTGTGCTCTCTTTTGTGTGTGTGTGTAAATAAATATTGCAATGCAAAATAATTGCAATAAGTCGGCACTGTGAATTTATTGCACTGCTCACTACTTGAGGTGAGACTAAAATAACGTTAGGTTAATGAATTCTTTGACTTCTGGAGACGCAAGTTGTTGTTGCATACGCACTTATATAAACACTTTTCGATTTCTAGTAAACTATGCTATGCAAATATTGCAAATATGCTGTTGAACTGCGTATCGCCTTCAGTATGTGTGTAAGGATTGCGATCACCTTGCTATGCATCTAGGCCGCACTAAAGGATTGCGAATGTATGCGTTCACTTTCCAAAGCTTCCACAGTTAAAGCTCCACGCTTCAGTGTTACCGCACTACTGTGGCACAGCCAGAGGAATTAAGGTTTTTAAAGCCTCGGGGGCCGGACCACTGCATATTGCAGCATCACCTCCGCTACTAGACATACCGTGCATGTTGTGGCAATTGTAAATTTTCCACGCCGCTGTGACCACATAATTTGCCACTTTTCGTGCATGCATCCATTTCAGCTAATCAAAGTTCGTTTCGTGTTCTAGCACTGCTCTAAATCATTAGCATAAAGTCAACTTCTTCATCAGCTATCGAGCTATGTGCCTCAGTACCGTAGAATCGCAGACAGTAATCAAGACGAAGGCGTTAAAAATAAACATAATTGGATTTGAATGGCGGTGATGGCAGCGATAAAGTTATGAATTAAATAATAGACACACACGAGTGCATGGGACTTAGAAAAACTCAACTTTCAATTGTATGTGTTCTCGAAGTCTTTAGAGACTCACTTTCGTTTTCGCCTTAACACTAGAACAACGAAGTGTGAAAATAGCAGCACGAACATACCTTTGGGGTTATGTTGAAAATTTTACTACCGAGTATTTGCGCTCGATATAAACATTGAAACGTCTAATTCTATTGGTGGAGGTAAAGGAATTAACGTATCATAATGTCCTTGGAGCTCCAAGCAGACACGAATGGCGTTCTCCAGAAGATTCGACTAAAATAATTGATCAATTATAGGATCAGCCATGGGAAGAACAGAAAGTTTTTCTACAAGCAGAACTGATTCCTGACTCAAATTTGCTCCCCTAAGTATAAAAATATTCTAACACAAAACTAAACCTAAGCGTATAATAGTTTTTTGAAAATAATTGAAAATTATTTACCGTCAATGCAGGTTTAATGTCACTAATTGGCAAATTGGTTTGCATCTAATGCAGTTATTTTGCCAGTTTGTTATGCATCTTACAATCATTCTGTTTTTATGTGTCAAATTGTTGACGTTTTCCGTCTTGACCCAAAAACCATAATGCGATGGAAAATCATCAGCATTTCTATGTCTTGAATGCATATATGTTACATACATATATACAAGCGATAGAGTATCTCTAAATGGTATGTCATTGATTAAATATTAAAAAAAAAATGGCTCAAAGGTGAAATGCAAGCTCATCTCTATTAATTTGTAGCTAGAAAAATTTGATATAGAAAGTAACACTTTTGAATTAGAAGACTAAATCTAGAATGGCAAAATATTTTAAATAAATAATTTGCAGCTCGACTACTCTTGCACAATGCTACTAGAAGATCACTTGACATTTCTACGCTAAACGCAACAAATTTTGCTCTTGTCTTGATGAATCTTCGCTCAATAATTAATAAATGCATGTTTTCTAGGCATTAGATGGAACTTTCTCTCGAGCCTAGGGTTTTCTGCAGAACCTAATTATTAAATCATATAATTGTTGGAATAAACAAGAATGAACATCATTAAGCCAGCACGAAGTCGTAGGCACACACTCGATTCACGCGACAGCCGAAAAGATCTGTAAACCAAGTGTAGAGTTGAGCATTACATTGAGACCCGAAATTGTATATTTTGGCACACATACACCTCACTGTGTGCCGAATCTTAGTGTGGAAATCAACCTATGAACATATATGCCTGAAATTCTGCGATAATACGGAGACACGGAATTTCCTAAGATAAAATATATATTCTCATCACAAATGTGTATGTGAGTGTGGAAACTCGAGCTAACAAGCTAATATACGACAGATTATCGTGCCTTAATGGCATAATAAACACTTAGCGAGTCATTTTAGTATAACATAATTTTCTTAGTTGAAGAATTGAGTGCAGAAATGTGTGACTGAATCAAAATGTGACTAAATTTGTTATGATTACGGCAATTGAGTTCACACGCCCGAAACATGTCACAACATACAAACATATACACATTAGAATGAATTATTTGTCACACATATGCTTGTATGTAAAAAGGAAGTATTTTAATGTTTATGCATCCACGCTTTCTTTTCTTGATTCCAGCCCATATTCACAACAATTGCTCACTTTAATCCTCATCGCTTCAATCAATGCGGCGTTGGGCAATGATTTGCATAATTTACATGTCGATACAGCAACGACCACAGCCACGCCAGCTATGAACCCGACATTAGCACTAACAACAATCACACTACTAACGAAGAGTTCCCCATATATGACGTCCGCTAGAACAATGGCAAACCACAACAACACTGATGATATGTCCAATGCAATAATGTTGGCAGGTGACGCTATATCCTTAAAGCCCACACCGGCGTCTATGATACCGCACCCACCACCAGCCATAAAGACGACGGGAAAGCTGTTTAACAAAAGCTTGCCGAAGCGACGAAAGGCGGGCGAAATATCCGCCATTCCCGTTTACGATCCCAGCGTAGAGTGGAAGTGTCCGAACGTCACGAGTTCGCGCAGCCTGGAATGCGGTTGTGACCTGCCGCATACACTGCGTTGTACCGGCGATTTACACGGTTTAACGGTAAAATGAGCGCGTATTTTATAAGTTTTAGCAGATTCAATAATTGTTTGTTTTTGAAATACTTCAGGTGCTTGCGAGCAATTTGAGGGTGTCACCCTATACCATCTCACTGCTAGATTGTTCCTTGAGGAATGTCACCTTCTTGAGTGATGCGAAGATTTTCGAAGGCATATCGCTGTATGGTTTGGTAATTTCATCCGGTGAAATTAAACGCGTACATAAATCGGCATTTTTGGGCATAAAAGGACCTCTGCAAGCCTTAGGTAAGTCCCAGCACTTACTTCTTTAATTTTTTTTTTAACTGATATATATAAATAAAATCTCTTCACCTTGCAGGACTACCAGCGAATGCGCTCTTAAGTGTTCCATGGAACTCGATATCCACATTAACAGCACTCGAGCGTTTAGATTTGTCCAATAACAAAATAAAGGCTTTGGGCACTTCAGATTTTGTGGGACTGTCAAACCTCGTCTATCTTGAGCTGAGCAATAACCAGATATCTAGCATATCACAACGTACCTTTATGAATTTACGGAAATTAGAAGTATTGAAATTGGGCGGCAACCGTCTGGGAGATTATCCAACAAGCCTGAAGGCACTAACAGCCTGCTATAACTTACGGTAAATTTTACTCACCTATATTATAGGTATGTTATGCTTGAATGGTATCACTTTCTTCAAACAGACAACTTGACCTCTCTGCTAATAATCTAAATGGTCCATTAACTGCCTCCACCTTGCCCGGCTTGAGAAGTCTCGAATCATTGGAGTTAAATCGTAACCTCATTAAGAGCATACAAAATAAAGCCTTGCAAAATTTTTCTGGGCTCACTAGTCTCTCGTTGCGTCATAATCAAATTGACGTGCTACAAGATCATGCCTTTTACGGACTGGGTACCTTAGAAAATCTGGATCTCAGTTTCAATGGCATTGTCGCTATTTCCAGCGCCTCACTACAACATCTGACACGCCTCACAACTCTCGATCTCACACATAACTTTCTGCGTGCGCTCACCTCTGATTTGATCAATCCGTTACCCTCCCTACAAGTCTTGCGCTTGGCCGGCAATGACATTTCAATAGTTGCAAAAAATGCTTTGGATGGCGCACGTGAATTGAAGAGTCTCTCCATGCAAGACAATCCTTTGTCCTGTGATTGCACGATACGTTCGTTCGCCGAGTGGTTACAGGTGACTAAAATACTGGCGGCCGATTTAATAAGCCCTACTTGTGTGACGCCGCCTCGGCTGGAGGGCGCACCACTCATACAAGTGCCATTGGAGACTTTAAACTGTGAAATGGACAATGTGGAGAAGGATAATGCCAACATAATCGAACAGTTAGAAGCGATAACGAGACAAAACCATACGACACATATCAAAGATCTTTCGGAGGAGGTAAGTCACGAGATATCGGCCACCAAAATTTGCAATACATCCCTATTCTTTTGCAGATTGTACTACACGAACTGCATTTCTCAGCCGATTACGGACTGATACTAACCTGGATACTTAACCTAAGCAAAAACGACTATATGTGTGATGCCATCTTCGTCTATAAAGAAGAGAATATCAATGAAATACTGATCGATAACTCACCGGTAGGTTAGAACAGCATATGCCTATATAAATTGATAAGTAAATATCTCACTCAAGACTTACGAACGCATTCGAAATCGGTTTCATTAATCGAAATAAAACCTTTAAATTTCGTTCCCACAAGGTACAGTTTACTTCCACAGTATTATTGCGACAGTTGTGTTGAAAAAAGATTACCAGAAGCCCTTATCCTTGGGAAATCTGTAATAATAACAACTTATTTTCAAGGGTTTTGAGATTCATTAAGTCGTATCTATTATATTTTGTCAAAAATATTTATATTGATCAGACAGACAAATCTTTTTTTTTTGCAGATCCATTGTGAGAGCAAGGTGCTGAATGGCCAGAACACTGTCAGTGTTATAGTACCGGATAGCTCTTCCTTGGAAATCGGGGAAAGGTAATTAGCAATCAAATAAGAAAAAAATTTAATTAATTAAACGCAAATTTCTATTCCCTACAGTTACCGTTTCTGCCTCGTTATGGTGCAGGAGCAAAATCACGATGCCGATCTGAATGTAGGCTGCTCCAACATTACAAAACTACAACTTAGCAGCCCGGGCTCGGTGCCAGAAGTACGACAGTATCAAAGGCGTCCATACAGAACTGAGCTGCCTTCATATCGTGACAGCGAAACCAGTTTTGCACCGATTGTCGCCCATAAAATGGATGAGAATTTCACGAATTCTAAACGAAATCACAATGCCATATATGAAGAGGCAAGTCAGTCACAACAAACTACACAGCAGCATACATATAATTTCTTGGATTCACTAAATAAAAGTTTCCTGCCGGGCTTGGGTGTTGGCATACTTGTAACATCGGTGGTAGTACTTATATGGGGCGCCACACGCATACGACAAGGTTCGAGCAACAGCCGGCCGAGCACACCGACTGCGACCACCTGCTATGCCGCTTCGGAGCATATAGCGCGCCTAGCAGATGCCGAAAATGGTACGCGCTATTTAAAGTTGCAGGCCACGACCAGTCTTTGAGGAGCCCACATCGATGTTTCAATTCTCACCACCAATTTGTTCATCGAGTGGATTCGGCTCCTATGAATTATATTATAAATATATATACTTTTGTACATACATACGATATATTTCTGTGGATCTGAAAATATGGTGAGTTGCTGCCTATTATATGTTAGTTAAGGATCAGCAACTCTTGTGATAGTACAATATTTGTACCAATTCATTAAAGTACGGTTTTTCATTTTCAATCGATTTTCTAGTTGTAAAGTTAACACTATAGCACCTAAGCCAAATATAAACAAATTGTTAATTCCTCTTTTATAGTAATCTACTAGCTGTAAGTTTATTCGATTTCCACTCTTCTCCTGGTTAAAGAGCGCATTTTTTGATTCCTTGTGCCATAGTTGATCGTTTCCTGTACTCACATTCTAATTTATTAGTTGTTTAAGTCGTAAGTTAGCCTCTCACGCTCATAACTTTTTAAATGAAATGTTTCCAATTTAATTTTGTTTATTTGATTAGCACATACTCATTCATACATATGCATATAATTATATTAACTAATTTATTAACACACTTCCACTAATTGTTTGAATAAATGAAAAATATTTATTTATCAAAAGTTAAGTGTGGACATTTATTTCAAAATACACAAAAAGTAAGATTTAATTAAAAGGTCCGTAGATGGTACAATAGTTAAACCTGATTATTTATTGGACAACCATTATGGACTGAAGCTAAATTCGAGGAGATAAATATCAATTAAATTCATTACTTTCTTAAATGCTTTAACAAATGATTTAATCACAAGAATATATAAAGTGTTATAATTCTATGGTTAATTAAACTGAAACATTTACATTTGCAATATGAAGTCAAATAATTGAGGACTATTCAACTGATGGCAATACCATATATGACAAAAATAGAAAAATGTACGTGTTAGCTCCTAGTCAGACTGATAATTTCGAAATTGCGTGAAATCAGTCAAAATCGTTCACGTAATTTTCAGAAAGTATTATCTTGGTTAGTAAGAGAAATATGTCAATGAAACTAAGTCTGCAAGCTACTCTTAACATGCGATAAACGCATTTGCTAATCAATCTGAATGACAACGGTCTAAACCTCCATTCTGCCTCCTTATAACGGATATACACTGTGCTTACAAGGCTATCTCTTAGAATGGGAGAGATATAGCATTTTAATGGGACTTCATAAGCGAGGTTTGATATCGCGAAATCCGGTGGTTTACCTTATCTCAAGTTTTTGTAAATGTAGGTTATATGTCAACCACTTTAGTTTCAATGTACGTTTCAGATGGGTTTTGCTTAGGTCATACGAGAGTCTCAAATAAACGGATTTCGTAATTCAAAATTATTTTCACTCTGTTTTGATGGAAATCCCAGACAGACTGACACAGATGATATCATATTATTTTCTCAAAGCCATTTTTTACATGTAAAACCATAAGTTGATTACTCTTACCGCGTACATAAATAGCGGTACATATACTCGTACGTATAATACATTTATTCACCAATAATATTATGTATGTAACTTTGCCCAATTTCCATAATATTATATATTCATGCAATTGTCGCAGGCGTGATTAATACATCGATGGAAGTGTATACATACATACATACATTTGTGAGCGCGGTTAACCATAAATTATTTCATTTCACATATATAAATAGAAATAAAGTAATTTAATTGCTGGCAGTCACTAAATTAGCCCTAAATGCTTGGTATTAATGATGTTGAAAGCGAGAAGTTAACTTACAAAATATAAATTAACAACTAGCAACAAACATCCCAATAATACATATTGCACATACATACATGTACCTATGTTAAGTATGTATCGTGACTCAAAAATTATTCGTTCAATCGTAAGACTATCGATTGATTACCCGTTAATCAATTTTTCACTTCGTCCTTTCGTCGTTTATTTATTGGTGATAGTTTTCCGACTCTTCCACTGCAGAGTATTCGAATGTACGTCGATATGTGAAAAACATATTAGGAGTACTAGCCTATGAAAGCACCTATTATATAATTTTTTTTCAGATGAATGGATATATTTAAATTTGGATTTAGATTTCACAACTATTCAAATATTAATGTGGAGTCATTGACTCGAGGCATGTGTGCGCCGTCGGCATGACTGATTTATGTATAAACGTACGTCATTTGCTAGTCATTGCATCATTTTAATGTGGAAATATTAAGGTAAATTAAAAATTGTCGTGAAATTACAGCTAATGTGTTTTCATTATCAAACATTCGATTAACTCTTTAAGGACATTTATTTTAAATTTTAAATCAGGTAAACCCATTGTATAGTAAGACTGCTTTCGTACTTGGTCTTGATTTTCTAATGATTCAGAGCTCAAATCAAACAGAGTATACTGAAATGTTCTTGATTGGAAAGTAGTTTATATTACAAGTGGTCTATGGGGTTCAACTTGAGTCTAGACACAATCTTCTTCAAGTTATAAGCAATATCATAAACATTTTGTAGAGTGGCGAATCAAACAAACAACTCTCTTAAATCCAATAGATTAAAATAATCTCTATAGCACTATAACATAGCTCAAAAATGGCATCAAAAGCAAAACAAACTTAACCACTTTTTAGGTGATCAGCAGTACTTGTTTTTAAAGAGAATTTTAACTCGAGTTTGTTGCAACTTTTAAAATTATTATAATATTACGAATTAATTATACAACAGTAAAAATGTACCGTCATGGCATTTGCCTCAAATCAAGAGAACAGAAGTGTTTAACCAAAGAAAGACTTCCACACATCCAAGGTATATACAATAAATAAGCATAGCCCTTATTTCAAATTTGAAATTCACAAAGTACTGTTAATGTCTATAATTAATACTCCAATGCATGTTTTCTATTTGCTTGCTGTTTGGAAGTGACGTTTGAATATTTAACAGTATAGAAAATAATTGAGAACAAATGAAAGCAGATGTAACCAGCGTCGTAGAGCGAACATCGGGGTTTGGGGTCGGATATATTATGCGAGCGCCGCAGTTGTAGAAACAAAGAAATACTTCGACACATCCAAGGCATATATACCCCTTTATATACTAAATAAAAGCTACGTGCGTCCATTTATTGATACATATTATCTTTTTTTATTTCGAGAAATATTAATTTAATTTTTTTCATATATGTATATTTTTTGTTGATGAATCATTGTTGTGAATCATTGGAGAAAAAAATCGGCAAAAAGTTTTTGCAGAGCCAGGGAGAAATTGTCCCCGATCTCCCACTGCTCTCTCCTTCACTGGACGTAAAAAATTTTCAAAATGTACTGGCTTTGTACTGACTTGTATGTGTATATAAATGCGTTTGGAACGAGTAGGTGTGCTTAGGCAATGTGTAGGAGGGTCTTTCAAGCATTACGAAAGCAACTACAACTAATGACGTCATAGCATAGCGGCATCATCATTTTGCCAGAGAAAAGTAGGCACGATAAAAAGCCAAAAATAATAAAAATTACGGCACTTTTGATCGTTTACTAAATTGTTTTAACATTAAATAAATTATACCTACTCTGCAGGGGCGTGTACTATTTTCGAACTGTTGAATAATGTGAGTAAATTTAGAGGGGAACAAACCCTTCCATGCCTTCTTTATGTCACTTGTGTGAAGAGCTTCAAGCAAAATGTTCTTATTGGCAACATTATACGATAGGACATAGTTCTAGGTTCTGTAACAATAAGAAATTTGGGTACCGTGATGACTAGGATATTTTTATTTTTTTGTCTGCTTGAAGCTCCTCTTACAAAGCCTTTATATCTCAATAGGCGCTACTCGTATACATATGTATGTATGTATATACTTAAGTTGGCTTCTACGAGACCATGCTAACTACTTCTAAAATTGAACTATTAAATTGCCCTAAAACCTATACAAGTACTTACGAGTATATACACTGTGTGGAAAAGGAATGAAAAGTGAAAGTGCTCTCATTGCAACGAGCTCAATTTCTATTTCACAGGTAATTTGCTAATTTTAAAAATGTAAATGCAAATGTCTGGCAAAGGCAAGCCAATGCTCATATGCAAATGTGTGAGTTTGTCAGTTTGTAGGTGCGCTCATTTCAAGGAAACCAACCAGTCTATCCTCGCGCCGTGCAATACACACACATAAACGAGCATTTAAATGCGATTAGCGGCACTTCACATGTCGCACGCAATTATGGACATTTCCACCTACTTACATACATACATACATATACAAATACACATTATATAATAGATGTAAGCAGCACTCCCCCATTTGACTAAAGGAAGCATTGACATAAGCGTATGCCCACGTGGTATGTGTGTGGGTGTGCACATTTGTACAGTTATTTGTTTAATTTTTCTTCGCACTTTTTATTGTTGTGGCCACACAAGGCTAGTGACTATGGCAGCTAGCGAAAGTAGCGCTCGACCGACGCGGCGTCGGAAGGCGCTAACCAAGCCAAATATCCTTGCGTACGGCAGCGTGGTCAGCTCAGTTCGTGTCACGATTTTAGCGTAGCCACAACAATGTCGCTGATTGTCGCACGCGCCAAATAACTTTGCCAATTATCGATTTTCACTTAATAATTTTGACTGGTGGCCATTAAAAATCGCAAACAAACCGTCCGAACTATGCTCTATGGGCGAGCATTTCGAGTTTCGGTGGATTAGCGCACACTTAAAAATCGAAGTTCATTGTGTGCCGATGTGTAATAGAATCTCAAAACGGAGCATATAAAGTTATTTTGAAATATTTTGAAAGACCAGTGACAGTGTTTGCCGCACACATTGTTGTTCTATGAGTATGCTGGGTTTCGTGTATCTCTTCTTGATACTCGGCTGGATTCTGATTGTGTTGTTTCTCAAGTGCAAAAAGTCGATCACACCACATTTCGCCTTCACCGAGCACTACACGGACGCAATAGCGGCGGGTGAGTGAAACTTAAAACGGTTCACATTAAATAATTATATTTCAAAACAAAAATGCGCTCATATATAGCTCAACTGACTTGATTTCACTAATATTTGCTAGGTCGTCGGCCATCAGTTCATATCATAGAATTACCACCAGACGAAATGGATAACGAAGAACAATTTTTAGACTCATATCATCAGCAGAGTAACAGCTTGCGAAGGCATTCGAATCGTTCGCAACGTTCGACGCTGCCCGATGAGCGCATTATAGAAACCACATATCCCACAGATGCGGTTGTGAATCCAGCGTATATGCACGACGAGGAATACATCATCAATGGTAATTATGAAAACTTACTCGAACCAGGCACCACGCCTAAAAGTATGCATTTACAGATAATTCCACACAATATGCACAAACACAAGTAAACTCACGGGTGGAAAGTAAAGCAATCGAAAGTAGAAATGCAAAAGTCAAAATTTATTTTTCTCAACTTTCTTTATTGCAGCGCCACCACCTTCATATGAGGAAGTTATGCGCCAACCGGAGGTGTATCCCAAAGTACACCAAAGCACGAGTAAAGTGAGTGACGCTAATATTTAAGACCCACCGTCGCGCTGCATCCCTCCGGTTTCTCTTTTACTAGACGGACAGTGTGTGCGCTCGACAAAGTTATGGGTTACCTCTGTGCGTTGAGTGTGGTGCGAATCTAAAACGCGTGGTACATGTGCCTGCATATACATACATACACATATGTGCACATGAGTGTACATAGAACCTTCAGCTGTGATTTTATACATAATATAATACAAGTTTAAATTTTTATAAATGTCAAATGTGGTTTAAATATATATAATAAATGGTAATGAAGTCTGCATTGATCCGTCTAAGATCCGCTTGCGAGAGAGAGAAATACGTGTAAATGAAAGATTAGTTGTCGCTTGTAAAATATTTTTTTATTTATTTGTATCAACTTTATCCACTAAGAAACTTAAATCGTGTCCATTTGGCGACTTCGCTTTCGGTCGTTTTAAATTAGTATTTATTTATGCATGTATTTACAATTAAACTTTTCAGTCCACATTTTTAATGTACAATATTTGGTTATATTATTTCAAACAAAATTTATTTAAAAACTTATTTTTGGCGCACAAGCTGTACCACAATAATATCAAATATATATCAGATATCTTATAACTTCCATGATATAGCATGAAATTCAATTCAATTCAATTGGCTATTAAAAATGTATTGCGTACTCATTCAATATCGTTATTGTTTGTTAGCTATCTAGCGCCTATCATTTTTAATATCTAAAATAAATATTCGATCTCAAATATACAAAATTATAATATACAGAAAGGAAGTTGATTGTGTAATATCAGGCCGCACGTTTCCACTGCCACACTCCCCTCACATTAGTCAACACAACTCTCCGCAAATCAAAAATGGCAAGGTTTACGCGCAAAACTTTTCGGCGCTGTGCATTTGTATGAAAGCTTCCAAAGCCTTAGGTATGAAACCCTGATATTTAAGCTTGTGGAAGGCGATGCAACGTGAGGCGATGCATTTGAGGGAGGTTAACGAATTCTGGTAGCTTAGTATTAGATTACTAATGCCAGCTGCAATAATTAGGCAAGCGCATTAATTTTAATTTAATATATTTCTCATTGCACACCGTTATTTACCTGCATTACCGACTCTTGCTGGCGTCAAGCCATTCGCATTCACCGCGTCCAAATGTGCGCCGGCGTCCACAAAGAGCTTCACAATCTTTTCGGCTTGCACTAATACGTGTGGATTGTCGCGTGGGGACTGAATCTGAAAATGTGTAGAGACAAGTTTTGTACACATTTTTGAAAGTGGCAAATAGTTGGCAACTTACACTTGAGACGAGCGTATGCAGAGGTGTATTGCGATCACGGTCCACAGCTGTAACGGAGGCGCCAACATGGACCAGCAACAATGCGGTGCGGAAGCAAGGGAAACTAGCAAAATATACAAGACATTTTAATTACATATAATGACGAGAGAAATATTGTAACGTGTGGCATTTACCGGCATATATCACTTGTGTAGAAATCATCAACCGGCGTTACGCCATTCACAGCCAAATGTAATAGAGTCTGGCCATCTGCCAGGCGAGTATCGCATTTAATGAATTTTAATATCGTTGAGTATAATTGTTCGATTTGTGGTCGCTCTATGTCGATATTGGTGTGCGCTAACAGTTTCGTGATGATCTTGATGAGGTAGAGGGCAGTGACGACATTCTGTTCGTTTTGATCCTAAAACAAAAGAGATTTTCGAATTATATGCGAATTAGAGAGAGAGAGAGAGAGAGAGAGAGAAAGGGGGAGGGATAGCGTGAGCTTTTACCGCCAACATCTGCGGCACATCCTTGGGTCCCGGATGGACTATTTTGTATTTATTGTTTTCTATTTCCTGCTGACACTTAACCAACACAGACAAAACAAGTGAAAGATCCAAAGTTTGTTTTTCCAAGCGCAAAATCTGCGAGAACAGCTGAGCAAAACGCAGCAAGTCACGTTCAACCGAAACCTACAAATATATGCAATTTAGATATGTAAATGGAATGAAGCCGAAATCAGAGGTCTTACATTGTTGATCATGCGCAGATCGATAGCATAATTCCACAGCACTTGACACTGTGCAAAACGTCCTTGATCGGCCATTACCGCACCACGATACACGATCGGTTGAGGCAGATCCGGGTAGTGTTTACCTAAAATACGTTCTCGTATCGTCAACGCCTCCATATGTATCGAATGATGATTCAGCCGTATGGCCTGCAGCTCTGGTATGTTCTCCGTTTCGAACCAATCGTCATAGGCCGGCACCGGCGCCATGACGCGCTTCCGTATTACCTTCGGTTCGTCCTCATAGCGCATTTCCATAGCACGCATCATGTGCTGATAGGCTTTAGTGATGTTGTAATTATCCTTATCGTTGGCAAATGAGGCACCCATCAGCTCGATTGCCGTTATTGTCTGTGACGACAAATTAAGACATGACATTAAATGAATACTAACCAATAATTTTGCGTGAGAGCATACACACCTCTTCTTTGGTCATTAGTCCAGGGCGTGATATGAACATTTCCACTACCGCTTCGTGTGTCCGTTCGGCGGCTTGCAGAACTGGCGTCAGTCCGTGCTCGTTTTTTTGCATGCGAGCACCATGGTCGAGCAACAGGCGACACACCTCTAGATGACCGCACTCGGCAGCGTAATGCAATGCGGTGGCGCCACAAAGCGCCTGCTCATTCGGATTAGCGCCGTTCTTCAGCAGTGTGTCCACAACATGAGCGTGTCCCTTGTAGGCGGCAATCATAATAGACGTGTTGTTGTAGGTGTTGGCCAAATTCACATCGGCGCCATGTTCAATTAGATATTTAACGATATCCAAACGTCCTGAAAACGCGTCAGAGTTAAATCGTATAATGAACGCTAGTTTATTGTGGGAGTGGCGCGTGGTGTGGTCAACTCACCTTCATAGCAGGCGGCACGAAGTGGTGACGATTGTGCCTTTGTGTTGTGATTAACATCGGCACCACGCTGCACTAACATCTTCACCACTTGCATGTGACCCATGCCCGCGGCAACCCAGAGCGCGGTTGCGCCATACACCAGCAATCCGTCGAAGACAACGTTGCACTCGCGCTCTAAATCGATGTCGAACTGAGTGAGCAGCGTCTTCACGAATGTCACATTGCCCATCATGGCCGCCATGGTGAGGGGTGTAACCGACTGGCCATCGACTTCATCGAATTTCTGTAAAGGTGATGAAGAAAGAATGCATTTTATTATAAAGGTGGATACAAAGAAGCGACATTTCATATGTTCATACATATGTATATTTGTAAATATGTACGGTAATCTACAAGGCAATCACTTGCTACGTATTTATATCCGCAAATGCCGTTAAGAATTTACCCTATAAACAAATGACTTACGACGACATTTCATACAAATTCCGTCGTTCTTCGGCCAGCACGCAGTTTTCGGCCGAAACACACGAATTTAAGTGCGAATTTTATTAAGAAAAATAAACAAAGAACATTGATGTACGTAGGTGTATGTGTAAGCATGTAACAAATCATCGAAAATTTGTATTTTGGCAAACAAAAAAAAATAGTATTTAATTTTATTTTTTTATACCCACACATGTATATGTACGTATACAAGAAAATCTCATGAAATTGGGCCTGTTGGGAAAGGTAAATTTGGATTTCTTATTTATGGTCTATTTTTCATGTTTTTTATGGTCTTTAACCCGGATAGCTTTTAGTACCTTCTACAAGTTCCGATTTAAGACATTTATGATGTTTGAATTGGGTTTAAGACTTTTGCAAGCATCTCTTTTGTGACATTTACTCAACAACTATACTAACTAAATAATTGCATTCTCGATAAAATGGCTTTATCGATCTTTATAGATCAGAAATTTTGCATACATCTTTTTCTACCCAAGAAGCTGCTCATTTGTCGGAATGGCCGATATCGGAGCACTATAACATATAGCTGCCACACAAACTGAACATTCGGAATCAAATTCTTGTATTGAAAGCTTTTTCATTTGACGAGATATCTTCACGATAGTTTGGAAAGGATCATTATCTAAGATAATAATGGAATCTACGAAAAAATTGTTCGGATCTAATCACTATAGCATATTGCTGTCATACAAGCTGAACGATCGGAATCAAGTTTATCTAAGAAACATTTTGTATTTGTGAATTGTATTATAGCTTCAGAGCAACCGAACTAAACTTTTTTTTTTACAAAATTTTGGACCTTTTCAGCTATCAGTTACTTTTTTTGTTAGTAATTAAAGAGTTTATATTGATTTTGATACAAAAACTAGTTGAGTTGGCATCAATTTAATTTAAAATTTCGAAAGCTTTTGGTTTTTTAATAAATCTTTATAAAATCTTCTTCAAATTGGCTTGTCAAAGTTAAAATTACGGCGTGAATGTAACTTTAAAGAATCCTTCTATGAAATGGAATAGAAGTTCCACACATGTAAGTTGCTTTAACTAGAATATACCGTTATCATATACATTGCGAATAGAATGCGTGTCTTTATACACATACATACATATATGCAAATGCCCAATTAAAATAAAATTAAACATGAGCATGCTTATTATGCGGACTAAAAAAAAATCATGGGCAAGGTTTACGCTCTTACTTTTTCTTCGGCACCCTTCCCACCACTTACAAAAGAAAACCAAAGCAAAGCAGGCACGCCGCATTTTGGCCAAATGTCTATGTCTTTCTTTCATGATCACCCTCAGAGTAGCGTGGCATCTACTCAGACGAATAGGCCCCAATGACCGACAAATTGTGTATTATATGCATATGAGACATACATACTTGCCTGATTACTGATGCTTGCATCTCTTTGTCATGTGTAGGCGAGAAATGGACATTGCAGCTCCAAAGGCAATGTTGGACCTTGTACATATTACTGCATACATGCATATGTATATATTTTCAAACTGAATGATTCACATATGTATGTATATAAATACTCACTTTCATAGGTACAGCTGCAGTCACAATAATAGCAGCACCTAATGTTTTATAACTTGAATAACATGATGTAAAGTATGGCGGAAATCAGAGCTGTATAAATATAAGTAGGACTGTTAACAAAGACACAATTCCAAGCTAGTAGCTATCTTTATTGAGAAGAGCTCTCATACTATATTTTCTATTACTTTAACTTTGTTTTATTACTATTATTTTCACCGCAGCTGTATGTGCATATCCTGATTACTGTTGTTGTTGATCCTGATTACTCTTTTTAAGTGGTTTCCTCTCTCGTTTTTCTTAGACCTAGGCAATGATTTTCGAAATTTTAGCATACATTGGTCAACAAACTGTTATCTTGGACGAGGTTTAAATTTTCTGTGAGTCGCGCAACATCTAATGTCCCAATAAAAGCCACTTTACCGAAACACTGCGATCAAGCTTACGGAACGCCCTTGAATGCTCTCTCTCAAGTAGACTTTTTACTGTATTACAACAACAACATGTTATCTTTATCAATAGTAATTTCAAAGCTAAAACATAATTTTGCATATTATAGCGTCTTCGCTATTGTCCATGCAAATAATAAACTTTGAGTAAATCTTATATACATATACATGTATGTGTGTATTGTCGCATTTGGTCTTATCTAAATGAATTTTAAAGTGATTTTTGTTATTTCAAGTTAGTTGGCTTCCTTGTCAGATGTTTTACCTCAAGCTTTGCAAGAGGATAAAATAAAAAAACAGCCGCCACGTATGGGAATGACAGCCCACACAAACAGAACGTTTTCTTCGTTCTTTGTTTTCACTCTTTTTGCGATTTATTTTATTTAAATAAAATTTATTTCTTAATTTGCAAACGGATAATAAACGGCATCTCACCAATTCTTTGCAATAGAATGCAAGCACAACATGAACACACACATAGTTGTACTTATATTTATAATGTGTCTAGGCGTGTAACATTTTCCGGATATTTTTGATAATTTCTAGTGTAGATAATAAAGTCCGCAGTCTGTTGTGGATACATCGTTAAGCGAGTATTTTCGAATGTGTTTATTAACACGACATATTGTACATATAATTAATTACATATACACATACATATGCATACATAAGGATGTAATATTTTATATTCAAGTCACTTTTAAACATCATTTGTTATTGTTATTTTTTGTTTTTTTAGTTATAGATATTAAACTCAGCTGCTTCGAAGGTATGGTCTAAACATAACACATAAATATTTCACTAAAACATGCGGACTTTTTTGTTTTATATGATTCGGATTCATTAAGTACGGAAAACCCCTGATAGCAAAACTGAATCCATATCTAACGGCAATAATCTTCTGTTTAACTAAGCAAGTGAGGACTCTTCTGTAATGCAACAAAACTCACCGCAGGATATGAAATGTAGGATGAAATGGGAGTCGTACTAGTGCCCCTCCAAAATTTTGCACCCGGCCAAGCCGACTCAAATAAACGTTTTCGCGTTCTAAAAAATTAATTTTAATTAAGAAATAAACATTACAACTTCATTTTGATTTTTTAATCACTTCAAATTAATTTTAGTACCGTATTCGTTCTGAATTCATTTTCTTCGTTCCGTTCGTACAAAACTGTCACACTCTGCACAAGGATAAAAAGCCAACTGTTTTAGTCTACGCATATCCTTTGTGGAGTTGGGAAAATTCAATAACATTTTGTGAGCGTGCGCTCGAAAAAATTTACACTTTTGCCAAAACATATGCTTTATCCTGAGCCATCCACACAAAGCGCACTCTCCCTTATTTTGCATGCGACCCTTGTGGCATACCCCATCTGCTACAAACACACATCAATATATGCATGCTGACGCTCAGCTTTGAGAATGCATACGTCTATTAATATGACTCGAAAGGACTTCAAAAGGTATCACTCGGTCGGTGGAAAATTTAGAATTGACTCGTGTAACCTTAAACGGACAGCTGATATGTTATTTTTTACCCCGCTATGAGTACACGAGAGAGCAAAGCATCTGCTTCGGTACTAACGCATACATACAAGTGTGCATTTCTGGAGCGCGTGTCGCTTTTATTATTGTATTGTATTGTAGAAACACATAATGTTAAATAATATATAAAAATTGTGTTATTTTTTTTACTTTTTATTAATTTGTATACATTGTTAATGAAAATCTTAAATAGTATACCTAAATGTAATAAAAACTTTTCACATACATTCATATATGATATTGTAAAATAAAGTTATAGATTTGTAAGTTCTAAATTCTATGTAAATTAATAAAACCACTGACTTTCGCGTTATAATCATATCATAGTTACGATACAGATTTTTATTTACTATGGTAGCATCGATCCTTCATATCCATTGAAGCTTTGCTCTTCTTGTATTGTTGTCTCGTTGTCAATGGGTTCTTCGGTTTGCTTATTAGCCTTTGTAATTTCAAGCCGTTTTTGCTGATTACGTAAATTTTTTCTCATATGATTGTGAACATAGTTAAAAAAGAGCATTGTACGTTCCATGAAAAATACCGCATCCATGTGATGAAAACGCTGGAGGAAGCATTCTACAAAACAAGGGGCACCCATTGGGATTATAACATCAATGAATAGCATTTTATGTAAATACCTCGGAATATATCTGTAAATATGTAATTTTTAATGGCCCGTTTTTTGCAGCGACCATTACCCCTGTAGGAGTAACACTCAGCAGCTTCGTTTTTCAAAATACTACGCCATATATGTTTGATATATTTGTCTGGTTCATCAAAATGCCCTTGAAGTAGCTCAACTCTCTGTAAAGTTAATTTTACTAAAAATAAAAATAATTGCTTTGAGTGAAATTTTGCAACCACACACCAATTGATCACACTGATCTTCATCTTCTTTGAAAATAGCATTCCAATCTTCAAACAGTTGTGCGGTTTTGAATGGCTGTGTAGGCAAGACTGGAGCTTGTATGTTAAAAAAGTCCAATATAGGACGACTAACTTTGTTAACAGTTTTAATCTCGACGGGATCCTTAAGCTCATCTTTACTCCTCCGCAAATTTTTGGATCTGGAGGACTTTGTATCGCTTTTCAACTTGATACACTCAGTTTCGCTTTCACTGTTATCATATCGCTTAAATTTCGACGCTGGCGAGGATATTGTCGGGCTACAACTGCTTTCCCTTTTCAAAGCTGTGCCACTGGAGGCAGAGCCTATACCGTCGGTAACCTCGCGCCTCAAATCGACAATTTGTTTTGTTAATCGGTGGAAAAGTTTTTCAAAAGATTGACGCATGGTCAAAAGCTCTTCCATAACTTCATCGCAACACTTGCAGCGTGGATTTCCGCTTGATCTTGGCATTTTTCTATTTATATAATTTTAGCAAAATTTTAATAAATCAATATTATAAGCATTTTTTCTGCATATAATTTTAAACATATGACCATAAATAATTTTATTTGCACTAAACATAGTTATGTTTGATATTAAGGAAGCTTGATTAGAACAAAGGAAATTTTTCTTATAGGAAACCAATTTAAATTTATGTATTTCAGAAACTTTTTCCTTCCATGTTTTTTTTGAAAATATTTGAAACTTAATTAAATTTAAACACACACATATTACTTAAGTTGCTCCTAAACCATATAGGCGCAAACGAAGAGCCAGTAGTGGTCTTTACACCGGCATTGTGAGAGTGGAAAACCAATAGCCGTACTCTCAGACTTAATAAGTTCATTAACTATCACACATTTTCCTTTTAATATAAAATGCATATATGAGAATATGCATATGTACATATTAAAATAATATGTATATACCTATATATGCACAATGCATATGCACTTGAGTCTTTTAATTATATGTATAAATTCATTGTCTTTTAGACAATTATCTACCTAATTCGCAAATAATATCAAATACATTTTTAAATTCATAAATGCTTTTAGCACGAGATATTCGTATAAAATATTGTTAAAATATACACAAATATACGAGTGTGAACATCTATTATTTTACCGATAAAAACTGATTTCAGTAACTTATTTGCAACCACTTATTTCCAAGTTCCCAATATACCAACTAGTTAAATATCCATTTCTTTTCACTTATAATTGGATCAGTATTATTTTCTTTTGCATACAACCTCAGTATTGATTGTGAATATACGAAGCAATCTCTATTTTTCTTCAGTATTTTCTAATGGCTTATGAAAACTGACATCCACTTCTAGTTCTCATTCCCTTTTCACGCGTTCTGTTGGCAACATATGCGTTGCCAACTATGCCGACGATTAAATAACACTGTTTACAGTAATTTTCCGACTGTAAAGTTAGAGGCTGTTTATAGCTAATTTTGGGTTGCTAAAGCCGAAAATTATAGTAAAATTTTCATAACACGTGACCACCACTATTATTTACTATAATGAGAAAAATAACTGAACGTGATGGAAAATTTTTGAACTCAAATTCATAATCAGGGCAAGTCAAATACCACACATACCTATTGGGACATCAGTCGAAAATTTTACTTCAGATTTCTTGAGTAGTGTAATTAACCGGCTGCAACACCGTACTGTGAGATAATATTATGATATATACATAGATTTCTCATAATTGAACAATAATATATTTTTGATATAAAATTTAAATAAATTTTTTACATAGGAGTATTTATTAGACAACAAAGAACCCATATGCATAGGAATGTGTTCTGTTTTCACTTGAGAATATATTGTATGTAACTAAAAATATTTTCTTAAATAGGTTACATATTTCTGAAAAATCAACAAGATATTTATAAGTTTGCTGATATTAAAGTTTAAAATCCTTTTGGTGCACTATGCAGCAGAATGACATAAGGCAGGGTCAGAATGGGTAATTCCGTAGCGGAAAAGTATGTAACTGACAACTGATTTGAATGTGTGCATTTATATAGAGAGAAACTGATTGACAATGCGTACTCTACCGGAGAAGAGTCTCTCAACTTTTTGTATACGGTAAATACGGAAAAATGGATTACAAATTAATCGAAGTGCAAATGCATCTTTGTCTGTACGAAAAAAGTAAAATGTAATATTATGCGAAATTATGGACGGTAATACAGAACAGCTGACTTATGTTTCCTTGCGCAACGTATTCGTTGTGGTATATCTATACGCTACTTAAGTCAATTCATTCGCATATTTATCCCTCTTCGACGAACAAGTAACCATTCTGACGCCGCCTATAGTTCATTGAAAATATTACATTATATGTAGATGGCAACGCGATTGTTTGCCAAATAGAATGAATGGAAGAAGAATATGAAAATAAGCGAATGTGTCGGGAAATCGTGAGAGACTAAACAAAAACGTGTGGAGATTTTGAGCGGGTTCCAAAAGTAAATATTGTGAGCCAAATATCAAATATAACACATTTTTTTACAATAAGTGCATATTATAGAATACTCGTAGTTTCATTATTACAAATAAGTAAGAATTTAAATATAACTGATCCCATCTCTAGAAAAGATCCGTCGTAGAATAGTGAGTATATGTTTATGCGTAATGAAGCGTGTGCATTACAATACCTAATTTAAATATGTATATAAGTATATGCACAGACGCACTTATTTATAAATGCTATACCCTTGATGCTGAGTTGCTAATTTAATTTAATTTCTTTACTTTTTAGTTGAAATGTCTATTATAAGTGATACACCACGCTGTAACTGTTGCGATGATGTTATGGAGGAGATTGTATCAATGCGCTTGAGTTTTGAAAAATTATTTTATCGATTACGAAAAGAAATAGTTGGACTGAAACGTGAAGTTATAGATGTGTTGGTAAGCAATTCCGAAACAAAGGTTTCATCACCCTCAAGTGAAACATTAAAGGTATTAGAATCGGATATGGCTAAATGTAGTGAAAAGTCTACACATACTGTTGATATTAGCATAAGTGACACGGAAACTGAAAGCTTGCAATCGAAGAAGGTAAAAAAGTATACCGATTCAAAAGCAAGAACAAATAAAAGTGATGTGGAGATGGAGAGGGTTGAGCCGGGTTTAATTGTAGCCACAGCGCGACCAGTTTTGGATTTTTTTAACATACAAGCAAGAGTCATGCCCACACAACCATTTCGAGATGCACAGCAGTTTGAAGACTGGAATATACTTTTAAGAAACGATGAAGATCAACGCGACCAGTTGGTATGTATACCTAGCACAATAGTATTATTACCTTAAAAATAACTCACATTTATCTATATAGCGGGTGGAATTAATGCAGGGTAACTTTAAGGAGCCAGAAAAATATGTTATACAAACTTGGCGTAATATCTTCCACAATGATGCTGCTCATCACTATTCATATAGAGGAACTGGCCGGGATAAACGTGCAATTAAAGATTATATATTTACAGATATTTTTAAAGGTATGTGGACGGTTATCAATAAATACTATTTTAATAATATGTCTTACATACCACCAATCTCACTGCAGAGATATTTTTACAACGCTTTCATCACATGGATGCGGAATTTTTCATAGAACGAACCATGCGTTTCTTTAAATACGTACGGGATCAAAGGCGTAAAGCTGCACTAAAACAGCGAAAACTTCAAGAAAAACCAATTGAAGCACAGAGTGAAGTACGAGAGTCAATGGATGATGAATAAATAACGTAAAATAATATTCAGTCTTGCCAAAGCAAAAGTATATATGTATATTGCACCTAATTTTTTTTTAACAATATAACATTTAAACTTACCTGATTGTAATTATTACGCATTATTTGTGCAAAATATTGTTCGCATATTGTAATTTATAAATAAGCATACAATATTGTAATAATCATATTTATATTAGATACGCTTTTAAAAATAAAATGCATTTATATACACATTACTCGTAATTGATATTTTATAAATTTAGATATTAAGCAATTCGATGATGCCGCTTTTGCATCTAACTCATCTCTGCTAACTTTTTACAATGGTATTGTTTTGAAATTTTTTGATTGAAGAAGAAATCAAAAAGCAAGTAAAATTTATGAAAACAATACTCTAATTATAAATAAATGAGCAATGCTTCCTTTGACAATTATTTTATAGGCACATTACCTCTTTGTCATACCACTAGTGTCTATTATTATTAAAATTTTGTTAAATATTCAGCGTGATATAGATCTGTTTATTTGTCTTTGATTATCACTTTTACGTTCTCGAATACAAACACACTTAAGTACAAGTGAAAAAAGATTATTGCTCACCAAATTTACTAAATAATTGACCAGCTCTTTATTGTGTATATCATTTGTGGCAGCCAGCAGCCTTTTGGCATGATCCAATCTGGCGGCGTAGTAAATAGTTATAAGTAGAGGCGCATTCACTTTCTCCCCCGGAAAATGGAGCTGTACTTCTTCAGCTAGTTCTTCCATCATAGCGATCGACAATGCACGCACTTCGTTACACATAGAAAAATATGATCACTTGGTTTTATTAGACCAATAACACCAAAATAAAAATTCCGAATTTGCACTATTTTTTATTTTTTCTTTCTATTTGCACAGGTTAGCACTTTGCTATATATTGCGTTTTTATTGCTATATAATATAAATTACACGCACTTTTTATATGCCTTTTTGCATACTCCCACCCATACTTTTCTATTAGTTTTCACAATGATTTTCCGACCGCAGCTGTTTGAAAACTGGCAAAGTTCGGGAAAATATTCATAGAACTGGCTCAGCTGACCAGATGTAGAGTTGCCAATATTTCAAAATAATTAATATTTTTAGTATGCTACAAAAGTATTTGAGCCCCAACGAATTTGCTTACGTAGCTTTGTGATATATGTGCAAATGTATGTGCATACCCATGTCATGATTTCATTATCTAAAGAAATAAAACAATATACCCTAATTAATACACAATTATCTTACGAGTAGATATATTTTGTAACATAAAATATTTCTGAAGGAGACAGTAGTAAAAAGCATATGTGCTACATACATATGAGCAGTGGCTTTTCAAAAGGTGATTTCCACATCTTAACTTATTTTTCACAAAATGAGACCGAATACACACATTTAAAGCTTTTTACATAGAAACTATCTCGTTTATATTAGCACTAAGAACAAGACTGCACCAAGGATGACTTCATCCTTGACTGCATACTTAGTTATAAAAAAGATAAAAATGTAAATATCCGTTTTGAAAAGACACTCCTCATATATGTATCTCAATCAAACCTATCGATCGCGATGTAATCGCTCCAGTCCCCAATGGCCACATCGGAACCATATACGGCAGACCAAACTTTCTTTGGATATAAGAATGGCTTTGATTAAAACTGATTTTTGAATTTTTATTTCAAATTAAGTACAAGAAGTCACAACAAAGTATTATCAAATTTGCTTTTCAAACAGAAACAATACAAAAAAATTTACGAATATTTGTTTTTTTTTTTTTAATTAGAACTCGAGCGGTTTTGTGTTGTATGCATAAAGAAACTTATGTGTGGAAATGCAATAACATTTCAGTGTGTTCAAAAATAGTTATGTCCATTTGCGTTTCATATGCTTTTCAATGCAAATACTAGAACAATAAGGGCACATGCAAATCGGCTATGCCTATTATTTAGAAATATGTTGATATTGGCGCTTGCGTGAGGGATCTGATCTATACTAGTTTGTTTATTTTATCATTTTCTGTTGTAGCAATTACTTATTTTTATTTTTAAGTTGAGGTGAACAGTTGTTGTTTTTGTTTTGTTATATTTTTTTAAATTTTCGTGTAGGAAGCTCGTTTAAATTAAAATGTAAGTGGAATCTATCGAGTGCCGATATGATTCTAATGAAGGATTTGAGTAGGTCATTTAAGGATCAGCTTTAAGATTCCTTGATTTTTGAAAAATGTTGTAAGCGTAAAAATAATTATTATATGGTAACTAACCATTATTGTTCTCAATAATAAATGTTATATGTTTTAACAATAAGTCAATAGTATTTTTGGTTTCTCCCGTTTTTCAACTAAATGAGTCTTGCATTAAACTAAAAACGAAAATATTCTCCCATCTCCACAGCTGGTGGCTTAACGATGCTGAGCAGGCATAGATGATGATAGGCAATTGCTTGCTGCGAATCTAAATTCAATTAGGCGGTATATGGTGAATTCAAAGCGCAACTAAATAGTTGCTCTTATATTACTTCGATATGATCACGTTTTCTTTTTGGGGCGATCTCATATATTTGTATGTATATAAATTCCATAATTTCACTTGCATTGCTGCGGCAAATCAATCCAATTTACTGGTATTGACGGCATAAATCTCAATAACTCAATATATGTGAGAATGAATATTCAATTTCCTTCCTTTGACTTTTTCGTAAAAATCTTACAAACTCATTATATGTATATGAGTTGTTGTTGCTGCATTTCAAAAGTCGAGCTTCTTTCATTTAATTTTTTCGTAAAAATTTGGTGATTAACCTAAACACACATTTAAAATTTTTTTATTCACAGAAATTTTGAGCAAGGAGTTTACGGAACCGGCTCTCTTCTATTAACTTCCTCGTACCTCCTCGATTATATTTAGTGAGTTGATATTTTTTCTATTTAACACAAACTGCAATGCACCAATCAAATCTTTGTTGCAAGTAAAGCTTTTTTGGTATTAAATTTGAGCTAAAACTGGAAGGAAAGTTATTTTAATTTAAAAGCTTAAAATATATTTTAACAAATTTATAGTTCTACATATGCTAATCTGTTTATATCTGTTAAATATAATTATTAAGACTGGTGAAGCTTTATAACAACAGTTCTACAATTTGTATGATTTACTAAACAGATTTACCTGCAGTTGTAAACATGTTTGTATTTATATATGAGTAATACATATGTATGAGTAAAAATAAATTGAGTTTGAAAAAGTACTAGTTTGTATATTTCGTGTGTACATTTTTTTTACAAATACTTCAAAATAAGGTAAATATAAATAATATTTTAAGGATAATAAAACACATTTTTAAACGCACCTTTTAAAATTCAAAATTCCAATTTGTGCAAATAAGTTAACAAGTTTTCGAATTCTTTTAGAATCCTATAAGATGTCAAACTAGAATAGCTAACATTTTGTTATATAATTATACTTTTTTCAACTTTTGTAAAACTACAAGGCAAATGCTGTGATAGTTGCTCTTCTGTCACCGATTAGTCTTGACAAAAGCGTGATAATACATTAACAAATTAATATAGTACTCAGAGCAGGAAAAGGAAAAAACCTATGTAATTATTTAATTAACTTCAGTAATCAATTGTTTTAACGTTATCTACAATTGTGTATTGTAGCTGCAAGCGTTAAGCAAATGTTTACGATTTTTTCTTTTTTCCTTCAAATAATTCTGTTGCTGCCAAATACATGTATGGCTAATCCAAAATAATGCATATGTATGTGTGTATTAAAAAAATAAAATAAAATCATCAAATTCTAATTAATTTTCACATTAGTAAATATTTCTGCTATCTTAAAGGTCAATTATACATATAAATATTATATATGTGTGTTAATACGCTGGCTAAATATGTTATTAGAAAATATTACTTTTTTTGTTGCAACAGCGTCTGCGTAGAATTCATTTCGATCAACATTGATGCTTAATTGGTTACTGCTGCCGTTATGTTGTTTGTGTCGACGGCGCTTTGTAGCTGTGTTTTTAAGGAGTTATTACGGGAGCGGGGGTTACGCTTACCGCGCTGAGGCTTGCCACCGTTAGGCGGAGATGGAGATTTAGTTGTAGAATCGGGCAGCAAGCCGGCCGCGACTTGTTTGTCGCCACCTGCGCCTTGTTCGCTACATGGTCGAGCACTATTGCTGCCGTCGTTTTTAATGTTGCGTACTAAAGACAAAAAAAAAAAATATATATATTATATTCAATTAATACAAGTAAACGAAACTCATTTGGATATTACCTCCGCGTCTATTTCGGCGACGATTATTATTCTTAACAATCGGCTTAATAGTCGTTTTTATTGGATCGAAGTAACTGTCAAATAAATCGGCCAACTCCGCCTTATCTTCTGCCTTGAGCTCCTCAATGACTTGCAGTATTTCAGAGAGACCCTCTTTCTGTTTCTCACTCCAAATTTCATTCAGTGTTTGCAGGTCGTAACCCTGTTCGGCAAGTATAATGCGAAATTTGACAGCACGCACCCGATGGTAGAGTGTTGTTTTGAAGTAGTTCAAAAACACCGGACGGAATGAATTTTGACGCTCTAAATTCTCATTTTGAGTCTGTAGTTCATTCAAATCACATTCGATGGGCTGTGCATACGTTTGCAATGCGGTGAGCAACTTCTCTAATGCAGCAGACGAATCAATGGGCACCTTTTGTTCTTGGTTGCTCAACTGCAGTGCTACTTCATATGCCAGTTTAGCACGCACACTAGCATTGCCGTCAAACAACTCACGCTCTTGTGTTGGAGCGCCCTTATTCAACGACTTTTGGGGGCTCTGACTCTCGGCCGTCCCAGTCGTTGAGCTTATGTTCTGGTTTGCGTCGCCATCGGAAGCATTATTGTTTATCTCGAGTGTTTTGGCGCTCAGGACTTTAGAAAGTTTGCGCAATGTATAGTGTTGCAACGATTCGTTGGCATTGGCTTTGGCCAAATTAAAACCATTGGCGAAAGATTTGACAGTGTTGAGGAATCTATCCAGCAGATTGTACTTTTTAAGCGACTCCAATATCATATATGGAATGAATTTGCGTTCCTCATGATAGACTAGAATGATACCTTGCGATGCTGCATCTTTGGCTTTAAGCGCTTCCAGCCAATCAAGAAAATCTTTCAAGGCAGCGATTTCCGATTTGGACTTGATAATCTGTGCAAGGCCGATGTTGAAAATTAATTACTCAATATTAAAAAATTAAATAAAAAATAGATAACATTATTTTACATTAAAAAAATATCTTTAGATTCCCAGAAATATTGACCAGGATTGCGAAGTTCGAAAATTTTGGATTAAAAATTTAATTTTCAATTATTAATTTGATTTGGGCTGAAAATTTAATAATAAAAATTGAAAATTTAATTTTTAATTCCAACCATCTTGGATTAAAAATTAAGAAACTCTTATTTATTAGAACCTGGAACGAAAAAGGAAAAAAGGAAAAATTTGCATATTTCTAACTGAAACACTGTAACTAAGATCAATTAAATATATAAAGAGACAATAAGAGCTAAACTATGTTGATAAAAATAAGCCTTGATTTTCAAAAGATAACCAAAATAATAGAACATAAAGAATGCAAACGCGAAAAAATGCCATTCTAAAACAATTTCTTTTCCCAATTTTTAATTAAAAGCTAGGCATAAAAAACTTTCAAGTTTCCAATCCGGTACTTTTAATTCGATTTTTGGGATTAAAATTTTTTTATTTTTCAAATCGTTATTTGGAAACAAAATTTTTTTTTATTTCTCAATCCAGCATTTGGGATTAAAAATTGGAAGAATTTCGGAATTACAAAATAAAAAAAATAAATTCAAACGAAGATATAATGACTTGAGATCGATCCCTTAAATATTTAATTGCCTTACCTTATATGTTTGCATTGATTTCAGCATACGATAGAATCCGATTGAGATCACACGTACTTGATGACGTTGACGAGCGGCAGGATTCAAGTTCATATATGGCATAATATATTGTTCAAAATGATCTTTTGGAGTATATGCGGCCAACTGGACGATCTGTGAGAGAGAAAGAAAACAAACATTATTTCCATATCTACTTAAATATTTTAAGTTATTTCTCATAAAAGTACAAAAACAAATAAATAAAAACAGGCAAAGGTCATTGACTTCTAGTCAAGGCAGAAAAGATGCAACAAGTATTAAATTGGAAAACAAAGTTGAATATAGAAAAGAAATTGCAGTTATAACTACACAAACAATAGTGGACCCACCACAAGTTCATGATTTCATAACAGTAAAACGGATTAGGTGCAAAACGGAGCAAAATAATCTTTTGTGTTTTAATTTCGATGTTCACTTCCCTTCCACTGCTTACGGGACATTGTGCAGATGTGAGCAGATACTAAGGAGTTGAGATGACATCAAAGAAGTATGAACAGCATGATTAAATTATTAGTTTATTATTAAATCAAGGTGTGACCGTGTTTTACCTCAAATAATTGTTTGCGGGATTTTTCGAATTTGATTTTATGCGTTTTATGATGTATACTTACTTCATCGATGAGACGACGTCCCGTTGTGTCAATATCGATGCCCACCAAAGTGTATTTGCCCTTGGTCAAAGTCTTGCCCACATTGGTTGTATTGACTGCGCCATTGGTGATTACTCCATTAGCGGCGCCCCCGACTGCGGAACTTACTATGCCGTTTTGGCAAGCATTTAATGAAGCGACCATTTTGCAAAATTTCCAATAAAAACAATCCAAGCGAAATCGGACTAATTCGAATAGTTAAATGCGCTGGAAATAGAATTTTTTTAAAAAAACAGCAGAAAGTTCTCTAATTCAAATACATAGAATAATATAATATTAACTGATTTATCATTAGATCGTCTAAAATTATTGGAGAAATTCAAAAACACATTATTTTTAGTTGCAAATATTTTCGTCTAATTAACTTTGCATATTTTCTTATATAATGTTCTAATGATCTTTTGCATTTTACCTGAAGCAGCTGAACTCCTTTTTCTCTGCTAACAAAACGAACTTTTCTGAACGAACTGAATTGAAATTTTTTAAATTTCGATGTTAGTACCTCACGAAAGACAATTAATCCTGTGAATGTACAAAGTAAATCAGAATTTAACAAGTATTTTTCTAAAAACTCTCAAAATTTGAATAGAATTGCAAAACTCATTTTTTTTGTATAAAATACTAAAGTATACTTGCTATAATGAATAAAATTCCAATGGTAGAACTTTAATATCGGATTTATTTCGATATTGCTTGTGGTCTGCGCAGCTTGAATTCCAATTATCAAATAAACTAGTAAAACTCGGTTGCAGCCGTTGGAAGTGCGCTTTGTGAGTTCGTTATCAGTTAGCTTTGTTAAAAACGCAACTAAAAAGGAGGTACCTACTAAGAAAACGAAGTGAATTAGCAGGTTAATCGAATAAAGCAAGAAAAAAAGTTAACTTCGGTTGCACCGAACAAGTTTCTGGCAAGAACTTGATTTAGATCGGTCAGTTTGTATGGCAACTATATTATAGTATACATTTCTTTGGACATTGTAGCAATGTTTCGCATACTAATATATGCCAAACTTCAGGAAGATATCTTGTAAAATTTAAAAGTTTTCTATACAAGGACTTGAATGTGATCGGTCAGTTTTCATGGCAGCTATATGCTATAGTTGTCCGATATCGGCAGTTAAGACAAACGAGCAGCTTCTTGTTGAGAAAAGGACATGTGAAAAATTTTCAGATCGATAACTCAAAAACTGAGGGATTAGTTCGCGTATATACAGACGGGTATGGCTAAATCCACTCAGCTCGTCACACTGATCATTTATTATATATATAGATTTTTTAGGATATCCGACGTTTCCTTCTGGTGTTTCCAGCTTCGTACCAAATTTAATATAAACTGTTCAGGGTATAATGAAGTATCAAAGCGGGTATATTTAGTAGAGTATTTTCCTGCGAATACTGCTTTTAATTACATAAAAACAAAAACCTCACCCAAAACGGTACATTTCCCGGTTGTTTTGAAAAACAAATTTCTGTTGCTCACATTGTTGTAATATTAACCAGAGAAAATATTGTCATTTATCTGTGATCTTTTTCAAACGAACTATTTATTGTTCGATTATGGTTTTCGCTCTCCAAAAGTGCACCTATAATCTCGACTCCCTGGATGAGTGCAAGTCATCATCAATACAAGTTCTTAAAGGCCTAAGATGGTATTAATGCCTAATATAAAATAATTCCATGCTGTTGACGATTTGAAATTAGGAGTATCGTGAGAACAACATTCTAATACAACTTGTTCACTGTAGATTTGATATCTTTTATATTTCTATCGCCACAGTTACTTTCTATTGGGATTACCGCTAAACACTCACCTTGATGTGGCTAAATTGCTTGACTTTGCAAATTGCCTTATTTTTATATATTCTAAACTAAATGATCACTTTTGAATGTAATGTCTTATTGCAGGCGTTTCTAGGCCACGATGCAATAACCAAAAAAGTAAAAACTCTAAAAAGACAACAAATGTATTCTAGAAACGGTTGCGCACCATACTCACGCAACTGATAAGAGAAAAATTGGAAACAATAGGGATATGGCAATATCTACAACTGATGTATACCTTTCTCCAAATGCAGAATTCCCGAGTCATTTCGCAAAGGTGAGTGTAAATATAAAACAAAATCAATTTAATATACAAAAAATTCATAGTAATATTACCATGAATTTTTGTGAGCGATATTTTTTCTGCTATTAACTTCGTTTCCACAAATTCTCAATCAAAACACATCATTTCTATTCTTAAATTTCAGTTTTCAGTTTTTTTAAACAAAGTTTTCATTCAAAGCTGTGGCAACTCTTACCCAAACCCAAAGGTGGTGAAAAGGTGAAGTAATATTTTATTTTAGCCTACTGCTTTATTACTTTTGTTGTGCTTACCATCGCCATCCGCGTTTTGTTTTGATGTGACATTTGGCGATGAAAGCTGAAATCAGTTGTTATTTAATAACATAAAACAAAACTGTTTTCAGCACACAGAGCAAAATAAGCGAAATTTGTTGATAGTCGTATAATTAAGTAACTATTGTCTCAAAATACATTTTTATTTAGTGAGTTATATTTGCATAAGTAACAATAACGAACAAGCACGCCTACAACACGCTGAGCGTGAAAAAGATAAGCAGACGCCGCTGAGTAGAACATTAGCGATTGTCTCAAATATTTGTTGATTGACACAAATAAATAATGTTGTCTTTCATCAGACGAAAACTATCGGAGTCGGACTCGGGAGGCGGCAACAATACAACGCTTTCGACAGCCCGCACGGTAGACAATATGCTCGCACAAAAAACAACTAAAATGTCTTTGGGCAATGAAACCATACCAATTGGAGAAGATGCTTTGCTGCAAGAGTTGGGCTATAAAAACGCAAATGATCTCCAAGAAACTGTATATGGTAAGCATTTTCTAAAATTTTAGTTTTAATTTCGTGCAAGAAAAGTGTTTACAATAATTGAGTGTTGTTGTAGATGTGCTTCGGACAATAAGAGATCCTGAAAAGCCATGTACGTTAGAAGATCTGAACGTTGTCTATGAGGAAGGGATCATTGTGCAGCCGTCAACAAAATCAAATGTATCTGTGGTATGTTTGAAACCGTATCTTACTGCATATTTAAAATTTAAAGAATTATGTAAATTCATTTGTTTTTTGGATCGATGATGAATACCGTTGCTTTAAAGTTTAAACTGTAAATATGAATAAGTGCGCATGCAGGTAGTTTTATTTAAAAACCTATCCGCTCGCTACAACACTTTGCTCCATTATAGCGTGTTAATAAGTTTTCTTCACACAGGTCCGTATTGAATTTAATCCCACTGTGCCACATTGCTCTTTGGCCACACTCATTGGATTATGCATCCGTGTTAAAGTCGAACGCAGCTTGCCGCATAATATTAAACTGGACATATACATTAAGAAGGGCGCGCATACAACAGAGGATGAAAGTAATTTGACACATGTTTTGCTTTAATATTATGCAGAATGCTTTAAAGTAATTAATTCTGTTTTTTTTAATTTTTTTATTTTGTTAGTAAATAAGCAAATAAACGATAAGGAGCGCATTGCTGCCGCTATGGAGAATCCAAATTTGCGGGAATTAGTGGAGAATTGTATAAAAGAAGAAGAATGAAAAATGACTTAAAACAACTCTAAATAAAATTAATGTAGTGTGTAAAAACGGTTATTTAAAGTAAGAAATGTAACACAAAGTAATTAAGATCAACAAAATGTATACATATGTATATTTATATTTTATATGTACATACAATTTTTTAATATACTACGTTCAAAAGCTGGTTATTGTTAATCTGTCTTTAGAGTCAAAATTTTATATTTTTAAATTTAATAGCAATTTCTTTTCAGTTGAATGTTTTTTTTTTTATATGGTTGGGACATACATATGTACAAATAACTGTATACCTTGTATATGCATTAAATATTTTATCAATGTAGTAGGTATACAAAAAGCGCCAATTTACAAATAGGTGTTTTAATATACTTAATACCCCATAATTCTCAGCCACAGCTAGTGCTATGCTAACATATGTACATACAAATGAGTGAATATAGTGTATGCACATACATCAGTTTTGGCACGAGCTGCTGATAAATTAACTTTTAGCTCAACATTGTTTATATTGTAGTCGACATTTAGTATCTGTGCTGTCGATATAGCCATTTGTTCAGGTCCTAACTGATAAGAGCGGTTCGTGTGCAATTCCAATATGGGCAATATATATATATTTATATATATATATGCCGGTCTCTAACTATATACAAGTATAGTAATTATCTTTGAAAATATTTTTAGTAATACTATATCATGTGTATGTTGATATATATCTGTGGTTGCGTTTACATTTGCTATAGTTGTTATCATAGCATAGTATGTACATACTTGGATATGGAAGATACTTCGTAAATATGTATTTAAATTTTGTTGCTATATTCATCTGACGCTATCCAATAACCAAGACTGAAAGTGTGGATTGATTAGACAATAAAAACTCTCGTTGACCCCATGTTAAGTATACAGAAAATTTGACTACTTACTGATCCAAACATGGTCGGAATAACTGCCCTTGGTAGGATAAAATCCTGGTAAATTCCAGTACCTTAGAACCGGCTGTTGTGGGAATTAAGCTCAAGTTGCCTCGCGAATCTAAAGTGACCCTTGTTGAACTTCGTTCTGAATACTGTATCAGGTAACATTCTTACTTATCCATAATCGACCCCGACATACCAAATATATGTCCTGCGTGCAATGAGTCTCCGCATGACACTAACTACCTCTTTGCATGCCCAACGAAGCCCTTTCCTCCAACAAACATTTCCCTATGGTCCGACCCCGTCGAAACAGCTCGTTTCCTGGGCCTCCCGTTAGATGACCTCGACGACAACCAAACTATAACTTATCATCCAAGCGGGGACTAGGTAACCGTTACAACAACATCAACAGTATCTTTTTCGTTCGATAGTCGGTTCTATGTATTTCTCCGCCTAAGACAGTTAAGAACCCTGTTCTGTAGGGAGGATAATCTACAGGCATGCGCTAGGCGAAGCTGTTAATTGGAGGTTTTAATCTCCAGAGGCAAATTCCCTCTACTACCATTTACACTGGTCATTGTAGGCTTATGAAGCACAATTTCAACATGGGTATAGTCTCTTGTGCAAACTGTCGGTTCTGCGAACTAGAGTCCGAAACTCTGGAGCACCTACTTCTTGATTACGCAGCAATCTCCAGACGCTGGAATAAGGCACTTGGATCTAAATATTCGGATAGGAAGCACATTGCATCAATGACGCTTAGTAAGATCCTGGAACTCATCAGAGTGCTGGGCTTCTATTTCTATATTAGGAATATTTTCTGCCGCTACGTCAATAACAATAATATTCTCTATTAATTTATTTTAGTTTACTGCTAACCCATCATAAAATTGAAGTCTTGTTACATAGTCTTCGTCTCGGCTTTGACAAGTTTTCTCATACAGACTACCGCCATCTCCGCGAAGAGCTCGATCTCTATTTTCAGGGCGTTGTATACTACGACTCTTGAAAACAGCCTTGTAAGCAGAGTTATTCTCGAGTACCCCGGTAAAGGATCGAATAAAACGAATGGCATTTTTTACAAATATCTCGTTGCGGTCTTCTAAGCATATTAGTGCAATTCTCTTTTTGTATAGTAAACGGTTTTGCAAAAACTTCAAAATAGAAAGTTCAAAATGCATTCTAGCCTACACATGCACACATGCATACAATAAAATTGCAGCGATTTAGCAATTTTAGTCGACGTGGTCGAGACGTAGCGTCAATTTTCTTTTGCACACGAAGCCCATCACGGTACAAATAACAGTAAAAGTAATAAGAAGTGCAGGAGAAATAATGAATATTACAAATGACAGTGGAACTATATTTAAATGAAGATGGAAGCGCCAAAACGGTACAAATTTGCTAAAGAAAAATTTACCAAAAGCTTTTAACATAATCAAAGGATAATGCAAAACCAGCCATGTATGAGTTAGCGGTTAATGGATTCCTGGAACAACTGAAGCAAATCACAACGACCAGACCACACGGACTGGCTGCAGTTGTGAATTAATCGAGACTAAACGATTGCAGTTAAGTGTGCAACAATATTTCTTCTGGTTGCGCGTGTGTTTCCTTCGATACTTTGGAAAGTAAGAAACGGGAAACCAAGTTGGCTCCGATGGTCATATTTTATAGAGAATTAGAACAAAAAATTCTGTTAATCGTGCGGTAATTTTGGAGCATTTCCACTAATTCTGAAGACTATCTCAACCAGTGCATTTATAAGAGATGTGTGAAAGCACTGGGACTGCCTGTAGCACTGTGGCCTGTGGCACGAGAGAAAAGAAATGTATGCAGAAATAAGAAATCAAAAATTAAGACAAAAGTTAAGCAATAACTTACTTTACAAATAGAATCGAGAGAGCTATAGTAGAACAACCTCTATACATCATGTTAAATGTGCTCTCTATTGAGCGTCTCTGAGCTGCTGTGAGTGATACTTTTAAGTTTTTAAGCCTGCCATTGTTGGAAAGAATGCGTGCACACTGAGAGTATCACATTATGAAGAAGAAGATGTGAATTTTTATAGTAGTGTCAAAACGCCCTCTTTGATTATCATCATATCTGATGCTAGAAGTGGTTGATTTGCTGGCAGACTTGCTTTTATGTCGACCACTTTGTATGCCCCGTATTTCTACAAGAGTGAAAACTCTCTTGATTTCGATTGAAAGCTAACCATGTGAGAAACTGTAGTGGCTTGATGAGGTCAAATGAATCTTTCTGATGTAACATTCAAGGGAGGACTGGTTATTTGTGAATGTAATGTAATTTTCTCTCTCCTCTATGTAACTTTTTTATGCTTTAAAAGTTGTTCCAAATGCTAAAGGGTTTTATGTGAAACTGTTCCTGAGAGAAGTACATTTGGAGTGACTGACGAGTGGCGACCTTATTGGATAAATATATATTTGATGTTGGTCGGAAAAGGGATCGATTTGCCGAGTGGTACTTGTTCTCTCTTTCAAAGCAGAAAGCTCCTTACGCTCAACTTCTTCTACTAGAATATACTCCTTTTCTACAGACATATTTATGTTAAGTCTATCATCGTTAACATTTTTCCATTGAAAATAATAATCAAGACATTTTATGCAAATTTACTGCTTTGATGATTTAGCAACTGTACCGGGTTCAACGTTGCGTTTGCCTCTCCTCCTTATTCCACACACCTTATTACATGAATACTGTAGCAAGAATGGGCTTATGTATCTAAAGAGAGTGTGTGTGCTACTGAGTGGCTTCATAGGTAAGTTGAAGAGGAGACCAGCGACTATTAATGGATCAGTTCATTTGAGCTTTTATATGCAGAGATACACACACACACACACACCCACAAGAACCTCTAACTAACAAACTGTGCAGCGTTTGTTATTTCAATTTTGCATATTCAATGCACTTTTTAGTTTTACCAACTCGTTTCTTTCACTTTATGACACTTCCCTTTCTTGACACGAGTTATGCGCGATGTCCTTCGTCGAAGATTCAAGGCTATTGGGTTCGTTATTGCAACTCAGTTACAGCTCTACGCGAACGTGTGTGCGTGTGTGCTTCGATGAAGTAGCTTGGGTACAGGCGTTCCACAACGGTAGGCCAGTGCAGCTGCTTGCGGACGAAAGGGCTCGCAAAGGACCATGGACTGTAATGGCACTTCAACCAAACTGCAAAGAAATTATTGGTTAAAGAAAATAAAAAATGTGCAGCAACTAAAAAATGTCGATGGTTTGCATAAATGAGGCACACTTCTAGGCGCACAGGATGACAGTGTGTACACTTCCTAATCGAGTATTGACGTTGCAGTTGTAACGGTTCGCACGCGACACAGCGACAAAGGGCAAAAACAGTGCCGTCATCAAAGCGGCCGTTCGAAGTGGCAGCGAAGAACACGGATCGTTCTGATTGCTACGCCAATTAGCGTAATGAGTGCAGCAGCGCGAGCATATGGCGCTTTTTGTGCCACTTTCTTTGCACTCTTTCGTGCACTTCATTGTATTCCTATTGTGCACAACACCATTGCAGCTTTTTCCTAACACGAAGTTGGGCACACAGTTTCAGCATTTTCCTGCTTCCTAATGGTGCGCAGTATGTACCTCTGCCTGGGTGTGTGTGTGTGTAGAAAGCACTTAGTACCGATGAAGACACTTAAACCTAGTTTTTACCGTTTTTTGCGCTAAATGTTTAAATGACCTTTTGTGCTCACTGTGTGTGTGTGTGTGTGTGTGAGCAACAGCCAGTTCGAGTGTACCTTCGAGCTGATCGCTGCTGGCTCTACCTCCTTTATCTTCTAGCACTTGCTGTGTGCAGCCAACATTCGCAGCATCAAAAATGGCCTAAGACAAGGCTGGTATGGGAGGTACATATTTCGAGTTAGTACCGATAGTCCCAAGAAAATTGTTGTCGAAAAAAAAATTTGGTCTCGATTTGTTAGTACGTCGCGATTCATCATTGCTGTGATATCAAGGTTTCCTTTCGCAAGCCAACTCTGCGCTTCCGATGCTCCGAAGATGGCTCCCTTTGAGCTTATGATTTATAACACAGGTGACTCTGCTAAAAAAAACCAAACCTATCGCAGTACTCAACCTGAATAATCTAATATGAGTTGCATCCCCCACAACTGCAGACCCGGAAAAATTATCATTGACCTGTCATCTGACTTTAAAACGTTAGTAGATTGATAGTATGGACGATGTCAGCATATTAAGGTATTGCTCTTGATATCTTCTAGAG